AATGTTCTTGATTTAATTGTCGTTAACTTTTCTTTTATCAGCAAGCATAGTGTACTTTACTTGTTATCATTGAATATGTCAATTAACTAAAGAATATTGATTTTTCCTTCCTCAGGTGACACAATTTGGTTGTGGGGGTTTTGTGATAGGCCTCATATTCTGCCATAGCATATGCGATGGTCTAGGAGCTGCACAGTTTCTAAATGCCGTTGGGGAGCTAGCAAGGGGTCATGAAAAAGCCAGCATCGAACCAGTGTGGCAAAGGGACTTTTTCCCATCTCCTCAAACACCCCAAGAAGCTACATTGCCACCAAAGCTACCCCCACTTCAAATACCAGAATACAAACTAGAGCATGCAAACATAGACATGCCCATGGATCAAATCATCCTTCTGAAGAAAGAATTTCAACAAGTAACTGGACTCGGTTGCTCTGTCTTCGAGATTGTAGCTGCAGCATGTTGGAGAAGCCGAACAAGAGCCATTAAATTGGAACCCAAAACTCAACTGAAGCTTGTGTTCTTTGCAAATTGCCGTCATCTCTTGGACCCTGTTCTACCCGATGGTTTCTACGGAAACTGTTTTTTCCCAGTGACGATCACAGCTTCATTTGAGTATCTTAGAGAGGCTGTGATGATTGATGTGGTGAAGCTGATCCAAGAAGCAAAAGCCAAGTTACCCGTTAAATTTGGAAAGTACTTGAAAGGTGAACATTTGCAAGGTGGAGAGAAAGAGGACCCATTTGCACCTCCACTCACCTACACTACTATGTTCATATCAGAATGGGGAAGGCTAGGATTCAACCACGTGGACTACAAGTGGGGTCCACCTGTCCACGTGGTTCCCATACAAGGCTCCACCATTATACCCGTGGCCATTGTAGGGTCCATGCCTCTACCAAACAAAGGGGTTCGCTTGATGACGTGGTGCGTGGAGGAGCCACATCGAGTTCCTTTCCTTAATCACATGAGTGGAGTCGTGAATGGGGAAATGATATAAAGCTTATGATAATATTAACTTCCACGTGGAACAACTTTTTTATGTCTATGCCTCACTGAGGAATAAGATCAAAGTGGTTTGGTTCAAAGTAAAATTAAGAACTTGAAATTGCAGTTTCTATCGTCTGTTATTAATTCCGTGATGCCCATTGGAAACAAATTGTAAACTCCGTGAAGCTTTTCTAATCCCTAAAGTTTGTTGGAATTTGGAAATTCTATTTATGCATCTACTTTCACACGTGAAATAAATGAAATATCATTATAAGCTAAATATAAATTTAAATGCTTAACGTGATATTGAGTGCCTGAACGTTGGATTTACAAGCACAAACTGGGAACCTAGCTGGTGACTTCTAAATTTTTGCTACAAATGAGTGATTAGGTTTAGGGAGTCTACAAAGCGTGTACAACTAGTGGTGGTGGCCTTAGACAATAAGTTAATGTAGCAAACAAGATGTTTGGTAAGACAAACCATAATCAGAAAGATCCTTGCAATCCTGAAAATGTCATAAATGGAGGAAACTATATTCAGTATCCAAATTTTGAGAGAGCGTTATGTTTGGTTCATTTCTTTGGCTTCTACCTTGTCCGGCGAATGCATACAAATGAATCCACACATGACACCAATCCAACAGAGACATGATCAAAGGAAAAGTTGTTTTGGTACGAGAAAATGAATTCTTAATCATTTTAGGGACATCGTACTTCAAGTTTAATGAAATTTTATAAGATATATTTTCTTATTTTAATCATGCATAAAGATATTTAAATTTATATGATAAAATCCTTGAAAACTTTTAAAATTAAGCATTCAAATAATCAATTTCTATAATTTAATACACTAATTTAAAAATTTCCTTATACACTGTCTTTGATGTTTTATAGGAAGTTTTTTCAAAGTCACTTTATTTCGAGAAATTTAATATTCTTACAAAAATTACTTTACTATAATTTATTCAAAAATATAAAAAAAAATGAAATTGTGACATTACTTGTTTCATTAACTAAAAAGTACATGTTAAAAATTGTGAATTAATTTTTTCTTTCGTACTTTATATAAATTGTTGTAAAACATTATTTTTCTCGTTCCCAAATCAACCAAAGGCCAGAAGCCAACACAGAAGGTAAGATTATGGGGAAACCATCCTCCTAAGTCAACCTCAACGAAAAGGAGAGATATATTTTAAAAAATATATAATATTTATAAAAGTAAATAAAAATTTAATATATTAAATTTATATTAATATTATTTTTGGCTCATTTTAAAAACTTAAAATTATTTAATTATATATATATATACATATATTAAATCTAAATGTTAAATATATGAAAAATATCTTTCACATGATGTTGTCGTGTGATAGGTAATCTTAGCTCGATCACCATAGAGTGGACCCGCAGTTTTTGTTTTTGGTCTGAGTCTACACGTTATGTCTCATATGAAAGTCATTTTTTTTATTGTTATTTTGTTTTTATCCGTATGAAAGTCATTTGTTTTATGCTTTCCACCCTGAACATGGCCCACGAGAAATACTCACTCGTGAGGGCCCATCCCCTGCCGCTTTCAAAATAATTGTATGCAAATGCACTTTATATTATTGGCATTAATTAGTTATTGACTAAAGTAATGATAATATAGTATTTGTTAATTTTTTTCTAAACATTAATATTATACTTTTACTGATCACTGGGTACTTATGCATTATTATTCACATTTTACTTAGTTTTAACAATCTTTAATAAACTATTTATTTGACAAAGTAGTAAAATATAAGTGTTATTATAGTACTAACATTAATAATCAAAAGCTAATGAAAACACTGATTAAAAATGTATTATATAACTAGATTAAAATAAAATCAATTCTTAATTATAAAAATATTATAAATAAAATTAATTAATTTTATTGAAAATTTACTCAATATTTTTCGTAGAAAATGTTACATTCTTTTTCTACATGCAAAACTGATTCTTTTTTTTTTATTTGAAGTTATAACTTATAACAACTTAAAATTTTAGAGTTATATTTTATGCGTATGCTATGGAAGGTTAAATGCGTTGACATTATATAAATATTTATAAATAAAAAGTGTTAACGAAATCATGGAGTGATATCGCTTTTCTGTAACATCCAATTGGAGAATTTTAAAAAAAATGTGAAACTAATTTTGATTAGTGACCTGATTATTACTACATTAAGGTATTTAATTGTCATTTTAATTTAATTTACTTAAAAAAAAGAGAAAAATATCATATTCTACGTAAAGGAAGATGAAGTGTTTTTTTAATTTGGTAAAAGAAAACAATTTTAAATGCCACGCCATCTTCTATTTATTGGCTAAGGAAAAATCATGGTTGAAGCTAAAGCTCAGAGAATTCAAAGGTTGATTTTTTAAATTTTTTTTTTTTCATTTGGCAGCACAAATGAATTTATACTTAGAATAATATAACAGGTTTGTAAAATAAATTATTTTACTCATTTTAGCCCATTAAATTAAAAAATTTAGATTTAATTTGACTTAAACAAATAAAGTTCAATTTCTTTGTTGGTTTTAGAAAGTTTAACAAGAATAGTGATTAATAAAATGAAGTTAAAAATAATAATTTAATTTAAGTTTAAAATATATATTTTATCGAACGAATTTGAATCAGTTTCAAAGGACAAGTTGATTTTACTCACTTTAGTCAAAATCACCAACTCAATCTAAGTTAACTATTTTTTTTATTAAACTTTATTTTTGACCTACTCCCTTAGTCTTAGACTTTGCCTATAAGAAAACAATGTTTTGAAAAATATAACATAGTCAATTTGAAATAGAATTGATTTCCTGAAATTTAAAAATCAAATTTAATGACATTCGATTCTGTGGACAACTAAAGAAATAAAAAGTAAATCAACAAAAATAATAAAAATTTAATAGCTTTATCAATACTTTTTTTTTTAAATCAAACTTAAAAATGTAAAAGGACAAACAAACTGTCCGGAATATTAGCAGCATTGAGCTATCATGGAAAGTAGATGCTTGCCCAGCAAGCGATATCAAAGTGCATATATTATGCACGAGCTGCTAAACAGAACCCACAGGATAAATTAGAATCTGCAGAACAATAACTGAGTTCTTTATCCAGTGAGATACCACAATTTTCGTAGTTTTTATTAGCCTTTAGTTTGAGGATATCCTTTTCAATTTAACCAAAAAAAATATTATCTTTCTATACTTGTCTCTTAAATTTTTGCATTCTCTTAGTTTGAGTGAATATTTCTCAACCCTTCCTATTCTTTCTTTCTGGCTTCTAGTTCTAGTACACAACTTTATAATTGTTTTGTGTTGATGGTTATGTCAATGTCACATGCAATGTTGCTGGTATATATTTCTGTCATGAACAGATAATGTTTTTTAAGTCTCAGTTTGTCTGATTGACCCTTCAAGGCATTATTTTTCTACCTTCGGGATTAAGATTATTATTATTATCTTAAGAGTGGTATTGATTGTTGAGGTTATTTGATCATAAGAGTAAAAATTGTCAGAGTGATAAGTTTAAGAGTGGGATTAAATAAAGCTTAATCCAAGTTTTATCCGGTGATCGGAGCGATAAACCTTTCTTTTTGTTCCTTTGTTTTGTTTCTCTCTCAAGTGGAACATCCACTCTAGCGGGTGTTGCTGCTGTTTCTAAGAAAAATTATTGCATTCTACAAGAAATGTAGTTGACTAGAGTTTGATGTGGATTGATGAGCAAAACACGTTTTTTATTTTTTATTTTAAATCCTGTGGGATAGAAAAATCTTGGTCCTTTTGTTTCAGCCTTGGGGTACTTTCGTAAAGCACACATTGCAAATTTTCTACTGTGCTTTTTGTTGCTTTACGTTTGTCAGTGCTTGAAGTTTCATATTTAATAAAACCGTTTGGTAATTCTGTTAAAAAATAACAAATGGGTCCTAAGTTTGATTGTTCAGCTTTAAAAGGACTTGTATTGTAGAATTCAGTTGCATTCAAGAAAGAAAAGCTAAGAAAATATTTCATTGAGCTGTTTAGCTTGGTTCAACCTCACTCTCATAGTTTTTAAGGAGTGATGGATATGTTTGTTATTGCAATCCATTGAGGTCTGATTTGAACCTTTTGGGGTGGTAAGCTTTCTGAGTTGTTAATCTTGTGTATCAAAACTGTGTTACGTAGGTGGAGAGGGTAGAAGTCACTTATATCTTATAAGATGAGGCATGAGAATGGCACTGATGAAGAAGATCATAAACATGATGAGACAACCGCAGCAGAGAGCAGCACAAACGGGGAAGAGAGTGAAAAGAGCAAACAGAAAGAAAAGGCTGAAACTGTCCCATATCACAGGCTGTTCTCATTTGCAGATTCCACTGATATAATTTTGATGGTTGTTGGCACCATTGGAGCAATTGGAAATGGTTTGGGGATGCCTCTCATGACATTGCTGTTCGGTCAAATGATTGATAGCTTTGGAAATAATCAATTTAGCCCTGATATTGTCAAAGAAGTTTCCAAGGTAAAATGAGGGAACTAAATAGAATTCTACACTTCTTACCTTTTAAATGAGAAAAGTATAGATAATATAAACTTGGCTTTATTTCATGACATTTAAATGTGCAGATGTCATGACTTGGTTACTTGTTAAAATTGCAGGTTGCTCTGAAATTTGTATACTTGGGAATAGGCACTGGTGTGGCTGCTTTCCTCCGTAAGTGTATTCTCTAATTAAGATCACTTCAGTTTTCATTATACCTCAATATATTAAATTATAAGAGTTTACATGAGAAATGGACACTGAACTATAAAAAAATCATTTCAATTTTCAGAGGTGGCTTGCTGGATGGTCACAGGGGAAAGGCAGGCTGCAAGAATTAGGAGCTTGTATTTGAAAACTATACTAAGACAAGATATTGCTTTCTTTGATAAGGAAACTAACGCTGGAGAGGTGATAGGGAGAATGTCAGGTGACACTATTCTCATACAAGATGCCATGGGTGAGAAGGTACTAACTAGTAACTACTACTACTACACATTAAAAATAGTTGCATGAAAGACTTGAATGCAATTTAAGAGCAAAAGCGACTTTGAATTCTTTTGTTACAGCTGCTTTTCCATATTGTCCATTTATTGAACACTTTCTTGCTTAAACAGGTTGGGAGATTTCTGCAGCTAGTAGCAACATTTATTGGGGGCTTTGTGATAGCATTTATCAAAGGGTGGCTTCTTACTGTTGTCATGTTATCCACTCTTCCACTTCTTGTTGCAGCTGGTGCTGCTATGGCCGTTATCATAGGAAAGACAGCTTCCCGAGGTCAAACTGCGTATGCAAAAGCTGCACATGTAGTTGAACAGACAATAGGCTCAATAAGAACTGTATGTTGTTAAAACTAAAATTTTCCTGTGAAATTCTGTAACTTCTCATTATGCCTATATTATTTTCTCTCTTGCTGTATATTTACAGGTTGCATCCTTTACTGGGGAAAAGCAAGCAGTATCTAGTTACAAGAAATTTCTTGCACATGCTTACAAATCAGGAGTTCATGAAGGTTTTGTAGCTGGAATGGGTCTTGGCATTGTTATGTTAGTTATTTTCTGTGGTTATGCTTTGGCTGTATGGTTTGGTGCAAAGATGGTGATGGAAAAAGGATATGGTGGGGGCACTGTGGTCAATGTGATTGTTGCAGTGCTAAATGCTTCCATGTAAGTAGAGTGAAGTTTATATATTTCATTTCGTAATGAAGTTTACTAAAACCAACACAACCACACATGGCAAGAGATAAAGTAGATGCATACTTCACAACTTATTAACATAATTTTTCATATGGTCTATGTCTTAGGTCTCTTGGCCAGGCATCTCCATCCATGAGTGCTTTTGCTGCGGGTCAAGCAGCAGCTTATAAAATGTTTCAGACAATTGAGAGAAAGCCAGAGATTGATGCTTATGACCCAAATGGTAAGACACTAGAGGACATTCATGGTGAAATCCATTTAAGGGATGTTTATTTCAGTTATCCAGCCAGACCTGAAGAGTTAATATTCAATGGATTCTCTCTTCATATACCTAGTGGCACCACTGCAGCTTTGGTAGGACAAAGTGGAAGTGGGAAGTCTACGGTTATCAGTTTGATAGAAAGATTCTATGATCCCCAAGCAGGTGAAGTTCTTATTGATGGAACTAACGTGAAAGAATTTCAGCTTAGATGGATCAGAGGAAAAATTGGCCTTGTCAGCCAGGAGCCAGTGTTGTTTGCATCTAGCATAAATGATAATATTGCATATGGAAAAGAGGGAGCAACGATTGAAGAGATAAGAGCTGCAACTGAACTTGCAAATGCTGCTAAATTCATTGACAAACTACCACAGGTTCTAGTTTGTAGCCATTTTCTACTAGTTCGTAGTTTTTTTGTGATTTGTGATCTTGAAACTTGTGTAGTAATCTCAACCTTTATACCTCTTGCATCCAGGGATTGGACACAATGGTTGGTGAGCATGGAACTCAACTATCCGGTGGACAGAAGCAGCGCATTGCCATTGCAAGAGCAATCCTGAAAGATCCAAGAATTCTACTTCTAGATGAAGCTACGAGTGCACTTGATGCTGAGTCTGAAAGGATAGTGCAACAAGCTCTGGATAGGATTATGGTCAACAGGACTACTGTTATTGTTGCGCATCGCTTGAGCACAGTGAGGAATGCTGATATGATCGCTGTAATTCATAGAGGAAAAATGGTTGAGAAAGGTATGAAAAAAGTTATATAAGACTTGGCTTCTGTCATTGAGTTGTCAACCATTGATCATAATATATGCATTTTACACCGTGATCCCAAATTTCTGTCTTTCTAAAACTCCTTATTTATTTATATATGTTATTATTTGAAACAATTCAGTAACTACTTGAGGGATGATTAACTCCAATTATGGAGGAAAAATTAGGCATTTCTTGGTATCATGAACTATTATTGTCTTTCTTGAACCCAAGCAACACTGATCCTAGAACATAACAAGCTACAAATAGAAAGTCTAAAGTTCAAATTATGAGTCTTTTTGTTTTTAAATATTTCACTATAGCTTGTATTTATTAATCAGGAACACACATAGAATTAATCAAGGATCCTGAAGGAGCTTACTCTCAACTTATACGTTTACAAGAAGGAAGCAAGAAGGAATCAGAAGAAACAACGGACAATCAAAACAAGAGGGAACTTTCCTCAGAATCCTTTACAAAGTTGAGTCAAAGGCGGTCTTTTCAAAGATCAGGATCATCTGTTGGAAATAGTAGCCGCCACTCATTTTCAATTTCATTTGGTTTACCTACAGGAGTTAACATCCCCGATCCTGCTGATCTTGAACTTGAAACTTTAGAGCCTAAAGAACAATCCCCAGAAGTGCCAATCCAGCGTCTTGCTTCTCTGAACAAGCCAGAGATTCCTGTGCTTCTGATTGGATGTGTAGCTGCCATAGCAAATGGTACCATATTTCCAATATTTGGTGTGTTACTCTCCCGTGTTATCAAAACATTTTTTGAACCATTTCCGGAGATGAAAAAGGACTCCAAGTTTTGGGCACTCATGTTTGTGACCCTTGGAGTTGGATCTTTAGTGGCTATTCCAGCTCGAGGTTACTTCTTCTCTATGGCTGGCAGTAAGTTAATCCAACGTATTAGACTCATCTGTTTTGAGAAGGTGATCAACATGGAGGTTGGTTGGTTTGATGAGCCTGAGCACTCTAGTGGTGTAATTGGTGCAAGGCTCTCAGCAGATGCTGCATCTGTGCGTGCCCTTGTTGGTGATGCTCTGGGACTACTGGTTCAAAATATAGCAACAGCATTGGCAGGTTTGATTATTGCTTTCACTGCATGCTGGCAATTGGCATTGATTATTCTTGTCTTGGTTCCCCTCATTGGAATGAATGGCTATGTTCAAATGAAATTCATGAAGGGGTTTAGTGCAGATGCAAAGGTGAGCTTCTTTTCCATAAATTTTATGCAATGCTACCTAAGTAACTGCATACTTCAGATTTTGCAACAAAGTCTGACTAATGAAATACAAATTGATGCAGATGATGTATGAGGAAGCAAGCCAAGTTGCTAATGATGCAGTTGGAAGCATAAGAACAGTAGCTTCTTTTTGTGCTGAAGAGAAAGTTATGGAACTGTACAAGAAGAAATGTGAAGGTCCCATGGAAACTGGGATACGACAAGGCTTGATCAGTGGAACAGGATTTGGGGTTTCATTTTTCTTGCTCTTCTGTGTCTATGCAACCAATTTCTATGCTGGAGCCAGATTTGTGGGAGCTGGCAAAGCATCATTCTCAAATGTTTTCCAGGTACCAACTCTTCAATACTTGTCCAACATTAATTCTCATCTTGTGGGGAAAGTGAGAAAGCTTTACATTTTCTGTTTAAAATGCTTTGCAGGTTTTCTTTGCTTTAACTATGGCATCTATTGGAATTTCCCAATCAAGCTCCCTTGCTCCTGATTCAAGCAAAGCCAAGATAGCCACCGCTTCCATATTTAGAATAATGGATAGAAAATCAAAGATAGACCCAAGTGATGAGTCTAGTGGCACATTGGATAATGTAAAGGGAGAAATAGAGCTTCGTCATGTAAGCTTTAAGTATCCATCTAGGCCAGATATACAGATTTTTCGAGACCTAAGCTTGACTATCCATTCTGGCAAGGTAAAAATTCAAGGACTTTATTAATTATTGTTATTCAATATTCATAAACTCCATTCCACCTCACCTAGTAGCTGAAAATGCATGTTTCAACTAACAGTTCCAATCTTATTTGATGTTTCAGACTGTGGCCCTTGTTGGTGAAAGTGGAAGTGGGAAATCCACAGTGATTGCCTTGTTACAAAGATTTTATGATCCTGATTCTGGTCAAATTACACTTGATGGAATACAAATTCAGAATTTACAACTCAAGTGGTTAAGGCAGCAGATGGGACTTGTAAGCCAAGAGCCAGTGTTGTTCAATGACACCATCCGTGCCAATATTGCATATGGAAAGAACGGGAATGCCACTGAAGCAGAAATCATAACTGCAGCAGAACTGGCCAATGCACATGGTTTTATCAGTGGCTTACAACAGGTAAAAACTAAACACACTGCTATACATTTTTTTTTCAGCTTTATTATGTTTTTGCAATAGTTTCAAACACTGTCTTATTGGGCTAACTGTTCACATACGCAAATGTGACTGAACTTTTTGTATTTGTCTTTTCTCCTATGAAAGGGTTACGATACAGTAGTGGGTGAAAGAGGGATCCAGCTATCTGGTGGGCAAAAGCAACGGATAGCCATTGCACGTGCCATAATAAAAAGTCCAAAGATATTGCTACTAGATGAAGCCACTAGTGCACTAGATGCTGAGTCAGAGAGAGTTGTTCAAGATGCATTAGACAAAGTGATGGTGAATAGGACCACTGTGGTTGTGGCACATCGTTTATCTACAATAAAGAATGCAGATGTGATTGCAGTGGTAAAAAATGGAATTATAGTGGAGAAAGGTAGGCATGACACGCTCATTAACATCAAGGATGGATCTTACGCTTCCTTAGTGCAACTTCATACAAGTGCTAAAACAGCGTGATAGTATATTATATTTCTTTTTTTTTTCGTGAACAAAGTTTCCCTCTTTCCACTTCAGTTTTGTGAAGTCAATAAAAGGGTTATAGTTTACCCTTGCTTCCCTTTTTCATGGAAGAAAATTCATTCATGTTCTTAGTAGTGTAAATGAGGAAGAACTAATAGATGATGATGACTAAGGAGTGAAAAACTAAGAAATTGTACATTGACGTAACAGCTTGTTAGAGATATAGTAACTACTTTTACAAGTGTCGATGTAATGCATGATGAAAAAGTCGAATAATTAATGTGGTATGTAACAGCTTGTTGGAAATTCCTTAGTTGTGGCCTGTTATTGCTGGCTATGTACCCTCGCCTCAATACTTGCCCAACATGTTCGTTCAAATAATATAAACTGTTTGACCAGAGAGAGAGAAAGATTAAAAACTGAAAATAACAAGATTAGCTTATGACAAGAAATTGGTCGAAAATCAAGTTTGGACAGCATGAATCAATTCTAAGTGTTATATCAACTACTATAAATCTTAAGAAAATGCTTTTTTTTTTCAACAAGAGTTGTCGTTAAATGTGAGACCAACATAAATTCAATTAATCTAAGCAAACCTTTATATTATTTCCAAACACATTAATTCTTTAAACGTCAATTTTTAAAAAGGAATTTTACTAAAATTTAAACTAAGTAGACGTTAAATCAAGATAAGTCCAAGGAAGGAGCCAACATAACTAAAATTGACAATTTTCCACGTCATCTAAAGGTGTAACGCTGATAATAAAGTGTGAAAATTAGTCAAACCCAATAAAATAATCCGAACAACTCAGCGTCTGTTTGTATATTTTATAGAATTGATTTTGTTTGAAGTCAAAATTTATCAAAAATCATAACATTTATTTTTAATTGAAAATCAATTATTTTCTCACTAACGTCAAAATAAACAAGGTGTCAACGACTCAAGGTCAACTTCGGACAAGTAAAATGCTTCATCGTATTATTCCGTTAGCAATCATGAATCAAAATTGGAAAGTGCGTCTCTTTTATTTTGAAGATTTCGGCTACCAATATTTAGTTTAATGTTATCCAAGTGACATGGGTAGCAATCATCTCACGTTTTTGCTAGGAGATACTCGCAATCAAGATAAACCACTGCTCTTTCTCATTCCCAAGCCCAAACTCTTCAGTTTTGCAATCGTTTGGAGAGTCATTCTAGCAGACGCGTTTTAAACTTTTCTTAATGTAATAGGCTATCATTTATTACATAAGAAACTTTTCTTTTATTGCTTCAAAAAGGTGTGCAGATAACTATTTCCGAAGTGTTTATGAATCTACGATGCCTTTTAGGCATTTGATGCCACGGTGAACGCGGTGGTTTCCGCCATCCTGAATATAATATATGCATGAAGAAGCATGGGTGCTATAAAAAGGAAAATGAAGACCACAAGAAAAAAGAAAGGGAAATCATGTAACATCTCAAAACATATCAAATTACAAGTCATCATCACTTTCGTCACTGTATTGAACAAGGCCAGTTGGGGCAAGTTCACGGGAATTATCAGCTTGGCCATTCAATGACTGCACTGGTTCTAAAGACTTACTCTTATCATTCACAGTAGTGTTTCCTGCCTTTGAAGAATCCTCAGCATTTCCTTCATCCACCTTGGCTTTTTTAGTTTGGGGCTTGACTTTTATAATCATGCCTAATGGGCGAGAGGCTGGATTCTTCTTTCCAATGCCAGATTTTTCTTCCTGCATGGATAAAAATGTTGGTGAAAACAATAAAAATAGCAATAGCTGCAACACACATCATTTCTTATTTGAAACTGCATGCAATTTTGAAATTAATAAATGAAACACCCCTTCAGAAGCCGGCAGTTGAAGGATTACAAATTATGGCTTCTGCTTACAGTTTAGACGTACAAACAGTAAGAGTAACATAAAAAAAAAAGAAGCTTAATTATACTTTTAGTCCTTTTACTGTAACTAATGAGAGATTTTAGTCCTCCAATAATTTTTTGAGCAATTTAATTACTCAATTTTTTTAATTGCTACAGTCAACTCCTATAAAAAAACAGCCTTCAGTTGTGAGATTAGAAACCTGCCAAAAATAATTGCTCGTATAAACATTAAAATTTCAGATTTTAGAAAACAGAACTCCAGGAAGGAAAATAACAATAGACACATGTTGGTATGAATGCCTGGCAGAAGCCAAACTCTTCCAAGTTCCAGGTAGTCTAGTATTCAAAAATCTTATTCAGCACGATAGACCTCAATATTGGGGTAAAAAAATTATTGTAGGAATCAGGAAATCAGTTGCAACATTATTCTATGGATATGACCTACCTGGAGCTTAGGTAAAGGGGTTTTTTCCTTAACTTCGTGCACAATGTTGGACTGCGCTGCCACTGCTGCCTGAAATCACAACATACAAAAACAATTTAGTTAGAAAACTGTTTACCAAATAATCGACCCATGCTAAATTCACATCAGCAATAGCAAGTACAAAATCATTTCAAGGGAAGATTAAATTAAAAGTACAAAGAATTCGCCTATTGTTATTTATATAGAAGCATTATCATCATACAGTAGATGTCATGACTTAACTTGAAAGCTACGGATTTGCTCGGCTTCCTCGTCTGCCACTTTTTGATCATATTCCCTTCTTGACTGAAATTGGAATTAATATCAGAAAAAAGAAAAAGCAATTAAATAACCTCTGCATAAACAATTTGTTCAAATATGTCTTTTGTTCTCTGTAACGTTAAATGTCATAAATCGTTTGCAAACTATTGAAAATAGCTGTCTGTAAAACAATTGAAGCAAAGGACATAGCCAATCATATACAAATTTATACTAGACACTTCCAGATTCCATCCATGGAAATTTCATGAAACAAAATGCTGTAAAAATAAAAGCAAAACTCACTGCTTCATAATTATCAAGAAATTCAGTCTCGTCTTCATCTAAAGCTTTAGGTGGTCCTGTGATAATTATAGTCGGGGTCAAGATTCAATCCGGAATAAAAACAAAAGAAAACCGTGTAGAAAAGAGAAACTGAACATTTTGAACATGAGTCAAACAATTAGCCTAAAGTATGCCTATCTCGAAAGGGCCAACACCAGGGAAGCATGAAATATTCAACAATTCCAACATTACAAGCTGTGTTTGGCAGCTGGCATTGCCACATACTATATCACATTCAATTAATGTGAAGAGCAAGAAGTTGCACGGCTGTCCTAATTGCTAAGGTGAAGACAAATTATCATAGGTGTGCTAAATGCTAGTTCAATACTCACTGTGCTTGAATCTTTCATTAAATTCCGCATCCTTCTTGTCCTTATTCTCCTTCAGAATCTGCACTCGAAAGCTTGATTAGTAAGTAATTGCCTCACAATCAATTTTACCATTGTTCCCGAATAACCCTAACTTTCTTACTGAGAATTATGAAGCAAATTTTGCATTACAATAAGTGAGAAAGCAAACCTCGTAGAGAGGTCTATCCCTCTGAGCAGTGCCGTCGTCAACTCGTTCTCCCCTTGTTCTTTTTGCTTCTACCAACTGTTCCAACACAATTAATTGATCAAGCAATAATCGCTAACGAAACCCTAATTTATGTATAATTCATGGATTTGAGATTGAAGTATGAGTTCGAGACTTAAGAGAGTTTATTTACTTGATCTTCGGAGACAAAGTTCATAATCCTGACAGGACGATCCGAATTTTCATCCATGGCTTCGAGTTTTTCGAACTGCAACTGAAACTACACCAAAACTTCAATGCCGAAAAGACAACGATGAATGAAGCCTTGGCCTGTTCCGTTGAGTTAAAATTTGGGCTCATTTCAGAAACGAATTTTCTAAAAATAATAAAATATTGTGGAGCCAATTTTTATTTTTTTTTTATAAATTTAATACTTTAAAAACATTAAATGTTATAATTTTGATAAAAACATTATTTATAAATTTTTAATATATATTTGAGGACAGATATTTGAAAATTCATTTTAAAAATATTTTTTACAGAATATTTTCTAGCATCTTCATTCTCTTGATGATGATATATTTGAACTTTTCTTACTTCGAGCTACTATTACTTAGGAGAGTTTTTCTTTTTATATTTTCTCTTTATTTAGACTTTTTAGCTTCTTTTGTTATAAAAAAGAATTTACTTTTTCATTAATTAACTTTTAAATGTTATTATTTTGATAAATAAATTAAAATTGTATTATCATTGTAAAAAGACTTAAAAGATATATTTGAAAAAAAATTGTAGTTTTACGGTAATATATTGCTCTTAATTTCATGTAGACGACTTTGTATCCGTTTGGGCACGTGGTTTTAGCCTTGTGGAGGTCACGTGAGAAATCTTGGTGGGAGGAGGTGTCGCAGGTAGCAACTAGCAAGTGCCAAAAAGTAAACGAAAGAAATACGAAGAAGGGGGAAGGAACATGTAAGAGGGAAAACCGAGGTTTCACTGCGTGGCGCGCCGTTGTTTTTTGTGTGTGAAAACACAAACTCACCCTCCCCAATCCAATTCCAATTATGGAGGGAGTGAGATTGAGAGGGGACATGACATTAGTATAACACAGCAACACCGTTTTCCCTTTCCCCAATCCCTATTCCAATTCGGGACTCGGAATTATCAACAAGAGTCAACAATTTTGATACTTCCCCTTTCACCATTGCTTCTTTTTTCATTCCCTTAACCTTTTTCGTCTCTCTCAGGTACGTATTTTTATTTTCTTTCACCACTTCTTTTCGACCAAATCTTGATCTTCATTCCAAACCCTAGTTCTTTTCATGAATTTGGGATCTTTTTCTTTTCTCATCGTCCTGGGTGTTCAATTTCAATCTGCAGAGGGGATCTCTGAGCTGCTGAGATTGATTGGTAGTTGGTGATTGGGCATTCACCTCAATTTGTTCAGAAGACTCTCATTCCGAGGGTTTTATGGTCTCTGTAAATTCCGAGGAGTAAAATTAGGATCTTGATTAGGGTCTCTATGTTTTCTTGGTAGTATTGGTTTTTTTTACACTTCCCACGATCATCAATTGTGTACATTTTGTAAAGTTTACTTCTTGATATTGGGGTCGTGAGTGTTTTTGTGTTTGTGATTTCCTTGATTCTCAATGGCTAACCCAACACAACCTAATGTTGGGTTCACCCCTTCAACCCCAGACAGAGAGAGTTCACACCCTGAGAAGAGTCCAATTCTGCCTCCTCCAAGTTTTGTAACCCCACCTGGATTTCCTCCACCAAAATTACATTTACAACAAGATCAAGCTTCTTCACGCTCCATTAAGAACCCAAACGCTTTATCACCAGCCAATGGGGTTGCAACTGGCAATTCTGTTCCTCACCTGAGCATCCCTCCTGGGCCCCCGGTCTTTACATCGCCTGTACGTCCGGCGGCTGTTCCTTTTCGCACGTCACCTGCGTCGCCTCAGCCACTTGCATTTTCTTCAGGCTCTTCTTTGCCAACTTCATCATCGCCACCACAGTTTTCAAATGGATCATTTGATTTGCAGCAACAGGTTTCTGATAGTATAGAGGACCATGTTCCTGGTGGGGAGTCATCCATTGTTCTTTTTTCAGCTCATAAGGTATATTTTGGTTTGCTTTAATTTATAATCAAGGCATGGGATTTTACATTGAATTACTATTTTCTATGCTCAAATATATAAACTCCCTTTCCTTTGATAAGTAGGTATTGAAACAGAAGAAGCAAGCTAATGTACCCAGTTTGGGTTTTGGGGCATTGGTTTCTCCTGGGAGGAATGTCTCAACAGGCCCTCAGGTAATACAGCGTGATCCTCATCGCTGCCAAAACTGTGGGGCTTATGCAAATATATATTGCAACATTTTGCTTGGATCAGGCCAGTGGCAGTGTGTTATATGTCGGAAACTGAATGGAAGTGAAGCTGAGTACATTGCACATAGCAAGGAAGATCTTCGCAGATTTTCAGAATTATCATCACCCACGTTTGACTATGTTCAAACTGGGAACAAGAGACCTGGTTTTGTTCCTGTTTCAGATTCCAGAATGTCTGCCCCAATTGTTCTTGTTATAGATGAATGTTTAGACGAGCCTCATTTACAACATTTACAGAGCTCTTTGCATGCTTTTGTCGATTCTCTCCCACCAACAACAAGGTTAGGAATTGTACTATATGGTCGTACTGTATCGGTCTATGATCTTTCAGAAGAGTCAATTGCATCTGCTGATGTGCTTCCTGGGGACAAATCACCAAGTCAAGAATCTTTGAAAGCATTGATTTATGGTACTGGCATATACTTGTCACCAATGCATACTTCGCTGACTGTTGCACATTCCATATTTTCATCATTGAGTTCATACAAGTTGAAAATACCAGAAGCTTCCAGAGATCGGTGCCTAGGAACTGCTGTTGAGGTTGCTCTTGCTATAATTCAGGGCCCATCCGCTGATCTGTCCCGAGGGGTAGTCAAAAGGTCAGGGGGCAATAGTAGAATTATTGTCTGTGCTGGTGGACCGAACACTTATGGGCCTGGATCTGTTCCTCATTCTTTTAATCACCCTAATTATCCTTACATGGAAAAAACAGCAATTAAATGGATGGAGAATCTTGGTCGTGAGGCTCATCGACACAGTACTATAATTGATATTTTATGTGCTGGGACATGCCCTGTAAGAGTTCCTGTCTTACATCCTCTTGCAAAAGCATCAGGTGGTGTTTTGGTTCTCCATGATGATTTTGGGGAAGCCTTTGGTGTTAATTTGCAAAGAGCATCTGCCAGATCAGCAGGCTCTCATGGTTTGTTAGAATTGCGCATGTCAGATGATATTCTCATTACCCAAGTTGTGGGTCCTGGGGAAGAGTCACATGTAGATACCCACGAAACATTTAAAAACGATGCTGCTCTTTATATTCAAATGCTGAGTGTTGAAGAAACACAAAGTTTCTCTCTCTCAATGGAAACTAAAGGAGATATCAAAAGTGATTTTGTCTTTTTCCAGTTTGCAATTCAGTATTCAAATGTGTATCAAGCTGATGTGTCGAGGGTCATTACTGTTAGACTGCCAACGGTGGATAGCATATCTGGATATCTTGAGAGTGTTCAGGATGAAGTGGCTGCTGTCCTCATTGCAAAAAGAACTCTGTTACGAGCCAAAAATCATTCTGATGCAATTGATATGCAAGCAACAATAGAGGAAAGAATCAAGGATATTGCTCTAAAATTTGGCTCCCAGTTACCTAAATCAAAACTTCATTGCTTCCCAAAGGAGCTTTCTCTCCTACCGGAGCTCCTTTTCCATCTCCGGAGAGGACCACTATTGGGAAGCATTATTGGCCATGAAGATGAGAGGTCTGTGCTGAGGAATCTGTTTCTGAATGCATCCTTTGATCTATCACTCAGAATGGTGGCTCCTCGTTGTCTAATGCACAGGGAGGGGGGAACTTTTGAGGAACTGCCGGCCTATGATCTGGCGATGCAGTCTGATGCTGCTGTTGTGCTTGACCATGGCACTGATGTGTTCATTTGGCTGGTATGCCTCCTATTACCTGTTCTAGCATGATATTTTCTTAGTTGGAAATGTGGTAAATTACTTAGTCTTTATCTTCATGTTTTATTTTTTTTGGTGGTGGTGGTGGTTAGGGGAGGGGGTATGTTATGTCAATCAATTATTATTACTGTACTGCTTCTACTGCCAAAGATGGTCAAGTTTTCAAATTAGCTTCCTGCCAGGTATAACCAATAAAAACAAAAGGCTAGTTTTCTTGGTAATGGATTACATTAGGAAACGTAGAATCCATATTGATCACAGTTGATAATGATGTACAATAGTTTGTAGTGCAATAGCACTGAGCTACAGGCAGTACATAAATGCTTTGGCCCTTTCTCCCTTGTCTTTTATCTTTCTTTCTTCTCTTCTGTATTGTTTTTTCCCAGCATTTTCTGCCATCAGGCCAGTGGCTGCTGTTGCTGACTACAGCTGTGGCTGGTGGCAGCCAAGGGTGTTCAAACTGGCTACCCATACTCAGGAAAAGAAACTCCTAATTCCCAAACTCTTACAACTTTGACTTTTTTATGATATGTTGCATGTTTATGCTTAAAGCATTTGGATCATGATTGATTGCTGGAGTCAACTGTTATGCTTTAAGTCGGAGTGCATTTTATTGTACAATTGTTGTTATTAGCATCTTTTTGTTATTTGAATTATATTAAAAATGTTCTGTGTGCCAAAAATTTCTGCTGGGCCTGGTGGTGTGGCGTGATTGATTTTTTAAAATTTTTGGGACTTAAAAGTGTTTGACCCATACAATTTTGAAGACTAACCTGGGGGTTTATGTTGCAGTTTTTATAACATATTTGCTGTGTCTCTAGTTTTTATAACATATTTTTTCTAATATTGGTGGGTGGACCTTAGGGTGCTGAACTTGCAGCTGACGAGGGACGAAGTGCTTCTGCTCTAGCTGCATGCAGGACATTGGCTGAAGAGTTGACCGAGTACCGTTTTCCAGCTCCTCGTATCCTTGCATTCAAGGTTAATTTTCTTCACTTCACACTTCACACCCAATTTCATCTTCTGCTTATAAGGGTAATTGATAGTTTATAGTTGAAACAGGAGGGTAGCTCCCAGGCTCGATATTTTGTGTCTCGTCTCATTCCAGCTCACAAGGATCCACCTTATGAGCAGGTGAAACAGCACTAGCTCTTTATTCTTTACTGCAAACTCAAATATGTTGTTTGTCTCATTGACTGAAGTTCTCTGTGTAGTATTCATTTTGTGGCCTTTTTGCAACTCTTTTTCGAACCAAGGACATTTCAAGATGCAACTTTTTTGCAGGAGGCAAGATTCCCGCAACTTAGAACGTTGACATCAGAACAACGGACGAAACTGAAAAGCAGTTTTGTTCACTTCGATGATCCCAGTTTCTGCGAATGGATGCGAAGTTTGAAAGTGGTGCCACCCCAACCAAGCTGATGACCAGTCTGCTTTAGGTGATTTGGTGGGTTTGATTTATGAGACTTAAAAAGAAAGGGTGTTGAGTGCTGCATCTTTCATCCAAGTTTGTTTGCATGATTTCTGGAGAATACAATGAGAACTTGCTGATGCCCCCAAGACTCTTGCTTCAGTGCTGCTTCCCATTCATTTTTGTTCACTTCCGAGAAACGTCTGAAAAGTTTCGAGCTTCAATTTTATTTTTTTAGTGGGGGTGGGGTTGATTGTGACAAAGAAAATTTTCACATTTTTCGTTTCAGATGTTACCATAGAGCAATAAAAGGAGTTCTCTTTATTTATATATTTAGCACATAATGCTTGTCAATGGTTTTCTTTAATCTCTTTTTTTTTTGGGTAGGTGTTTCTTTAATCTCTTAGAATGTGTTTAGGAAATTGTTTTGATTTATAAACGACTTTTTTTTTATTCAAATTTATAAAATAAATATGGGGTTGCTTATTGCGTGCCCAAGAATATATGACATGAAGTAAAGATACAAATATTTTATAAGAAAGGGAAATGTCTATTATATTGAAAATATTAAAGTTGTTAAATGTTTATTTCTTTATGCAATCTAAGGTAATTATTATAATATATTCAATGTTTTTATACTATTCTATTCTTTAATATATAATAGCAAGCATTTAACTGTTTGTATAATAAATTTAAATGCATGATTATTTTTTAAATTACATTAAATTAAATCAGTTTAAGATTAGTGTAGTTTGCCATCTTGATAGAATATTGAGACTGAACAAGCTTGGAATGGGAACATGATTGCATAAACAAAGGGAAATACAAAATGAGCAGAGCACAAAATATACAAATTTTAATATTTTCATGAATATCTGAAACTACTAGTCAATTTAAGTTTTTTAGTAAAACTTTCTAGCGTAACTATTTCATCGTCCTTATACAATTAAGCTGGGGCACAGGTGTATATGCCACACGAGATCTTCTATAAGATATCAACATTAATTATTTTAATTTTTTTAATGTGTACTTAACAATACATGATAAAAAAAATTAATAAATAATATTTTTTAAAAATCATAATATTTAATATTATTAATATATTAAATTTAACAATATCATATAATTTTTAATAAAAATTATGATATATAAATTCTTATTATTTATTTTTAAATGTGTATTAAAAAAATTTATTAATTATTATTAGGAAGGATAATGAGTAAAGTACTTTATGGATAATTGTAAAATTTATCACAAATACAAGTATGAACAAATATATACAAATTTTAATTGAAATAAGTGCAGGTTGGATACCTAAGTACTCACCATGTCTCATCCTGCATATATATATATATATATATATATATATATATATATATTATGTTGCTTATGTGAGAGAGACCTTAACACAAAAACTTAGGATAAGAGAGAATTATGGTTAATATTTAATACTTTATATATTTGGCTAGATTATTTCTGTGTTTATTGACAATTATATAACCATATAAGTTGTTCTACAACTTACCTTATTGAGAGTTGTGTTTTAAAAGTGTGACTTACAAAAAAATATTTAACCTATCACTTTTTATAAAATTTAGTTTATTCTAATTTCATATAATCTTATTTGAATAATTTTTTACTTATAATGGAACAATTAAGAATTTAAGAAAATAAAAATCTAACTTACTTTTAACTTTTAGAAAGTTTTTGTGAATGTTTTTGTAAAATTTTGGTTAAGATAAAGATTTTACTATTTATTTTATTTTGTGTAATTTTATTATATTTTTTACTCAAGTTCTTTTATAGGTATAATTATTTTTTTAATAGACAAATTTTTTATTTTGAATTTTTGAGTAATATTTATTTTAATTTATAATTCTCTGTTTTTAAATTTTTTTATGCAAAATAAAAGGTTGAACAATTTAATATAAATATTTATATTACTCAAATAAAAGAATGTATGTTTAAAAATATAAAAATTTATTTAATTAATTTTTTTATGAGTTTAACATAAAAATATATTTACTAATAAAATAAATTTTTAATAAAAAATTTATTTACTATTTTATATTATTTAATTAGGCTAATACAATTTAATTATTACATAATTGATATAAAATTTAATTCTTGTTATGTGTTTGTATATTTTAGCTTCTATTGTATTGCTGGACCAAAGCAATATATAAACTTAAAAGATAAAAGTTCATTTGAAGAGTCTAATTTTAATAATAAGATAAAATAGTCTAACTATATCTATTATTTTGACTTTATAATAAATAATTAATTAATATTCTTTTTTTTTAAGTTTTTAAGAGTAACAGTGTATGGTTATTAAGTTTATGAGTTAATTATTTTAGACATCTTGAAGATTATATGTAAAATTTTATTTATAGTTTTTAAGTACTTTAGTTTAGAAAGTTAATGTATTAAGATATAATTAACAGTTATAATATTTAAATATTTATTTTATATTTATACTTAAACTTTGTTAAATATATATATATATATATATATAGTATTATTATGTTATTTATATAAAATTATACAAATATATTTTTTTATAAATATTTTTTTCCTAGATAAGAGTAGGTAATAGAAGCGAATATAGATATGCAGATACCTACTAATATAGAGATTAAAATTATTATCTAAACAAATATAAAGTTAAGTGAGTATTTTTTTTAAACAATGATATGTAAATAAGTAAATAAGTACTACAATATCGTATCCAGTGTCGTCCCTAGTTATTATAGCCTGTATCAGTTTTGGAAGTAATTTCCTTCATCAAATCCAAATAAAACTCCTAAAAATACTGTTAATTTCACTGGACACCTTGCAGAAGTCAATTTGTTTACATGTGAAAGAGAACATTGCTTTAGTCATACAAAGTCTGCGTACTTTATTCAATAAATATCTCTTAAAACGTTAATTTATGCTGCATTTTCTCGATAGTAGGTAAAATATCACCACTATATATTAAAAATGAAAATGTAAAACATTAAACTATTAAGTTTTAAAATACTTTTGGTATTAAATTTTCCACGTCTTACTGTATAATTTTTTTAACAAAAATGTGATTTTGAGATTTTTTTGTAATTCATAAAATAATTAATAACTAAAATAATAACACGAAGAATAATAAAGGGCAAAATTACTTTAACTTCACCCGCATGTGAGTAATACGTTACTACATTTATACAGAGAGTAACCGAAGACTTGCGCAGGGACAGTGAAGAGTAAAAAGGCGAAGAAGAAATTAAAAAACGAGAGAAGGGCGCAATTATCTGAAAGCGAAAACCCTAGGGTCAACCGTGACGCTACAATCGCTCTCTCACGTTTCATTCGCATTCGGCATCTTTGCAACGAGTAAAACAGCTTGCATTTGAAGACTGATATGCTTTTGCTTCATCTTCTAATCGTTTACAATTCTCTTTTGGCTATGGCAGGATCAGGTGCTCGTATTTCAAGATGGCGGGAACGGAAGCCAAAAACGCCAAAAAATCTGGTAATTCGCATTACTGATGCATTCCCCCCCCCCCACCTCATTTGCATTTCATTTCATTCTTCTAATGGTGAAGCTTAGCAGGTGGTAAGAAGAAAGAGGTGAAGAAGGAGACTGGCTTAGGACTTACGCATCGGAAGGCTGAAAACTTCGGAGAGTGGTATTCCGAGGTATTATGTGCAGTTAAATAGTTTCTACTTGTTGTTTTGACCTGATCTGTGTTTGGTCAAAATTGCTTGTTCGTTCTAATCTGATTTTGTTTCACGCTTTGACAATTTCGGCAGTGTGTTTGTTTCTTGACTTTGACTTTTGATTAATCTGATAGGTTGTTGTTAATGCGGAAATGATTGAGTACTATGATATATCTGGTTGCTACATTCTCAGGCCTTGGTCAATGGCGATATGGGAGATCATGCATGTGAGTTTCTTAATTCTTCTTTTGTTTTAAGATAATGAGGGAATGCAAATATGTGTTAGTGTAATTTTTTTTGTGCTGAAATTTCTCTCGTTTAGCTCTATTGATAATGCTTGAGAGTGTCGATTTGGAGAAGGTGAATACAGAATTGTAGATTTCTTTCTTTTGATTTATACATAGGTCAGAGTTGCTTTAATTTTAAAATCAATGTGCAGGAGTTTTTTGATCCCGAAATTAAGAAAATGAAGATCAAGAACTGCTATTTCCCTTTGTTTGTGTCTCCTGGAGTTTTGCAAAAGGAGAAAGACCACGTTGAGGGATTCGCTCCAGAGGTGAGTGTACAGATTTGTTGGGCCATGTAAAGTAGAGCGTGCAATGAATTGGGTTAAGGTTTTTGTTTGAACCAGGGAATATCCTCCATAATATAATGAAGGATTGGTTTGGTTGTAAAGATTTGGAGATTATTGTGTGTTTAGATCAATTGTTTGTTTAATGGTTTGGGCTTTTCTAATCAGGGACATGCTATGCTGGATTGTATGATGTACAACAAAAAAATTAGTTTAGCAACATCTGTGTATCATTCAGCTAATGATAGTTTCATATGTTGGAATGGTTATTTTTTAACTTGCAGTATAATATTTAATCTATACAGTTTCATTACTTCCTGAAGGACATTTTATTTTGAAGATACTATTTTTCTGATTGTCTTACTCTTATGCCAGGTTGCTTGGGTGACAAAGTCCGGGGAATCTGAATTAGAAATTCCTATTGCTATTCGTCCAACTAGTGAAACTGTCATGTATCCTTACTACTCTAAGTGGATAAGGGGACATCGGGACTTGCCTTTGAAACTTAATCAGTGGTGCAATGTTGTTAGATGGGAGTTCAGCAATCCCACACCATTCATCAGGTAGTGAATTTCCATCTTATTTTGTTCATCAGGTAGCAAGTTTCTCAATGACGTCATGTAATTCATGTAACAAAACTTACCTAGTGGGATAAAGTTTAATTGTTTTTGTTATGTAATGATTTGTAGTCTGCCATTAATGCAATAATAAATTACAAATTTAAATAAGAATCTTCAAATTTTGGAATATTCAGCCATTGTATGTTTAGTTATTTACCCTCCTACTTAGTGACTGTTGGTTTAAGTTAGATAATCAATTCTTGCACTTTCTAACGAAAATCATGTAAATGTTACAATCAAAATCAGGCTTGGCCTTGTGACCTGGAGGTCATGGGTTCAGTCCTGGAAAACAGCCTCTCTACTTGCTGGGCTGAGGCTATGTATGTCTATCCTCCCAACTCCACCAATTGGGAGCCTTGTGCACTAGGTTGCCCTGATTAAATATCTCATTATTAATATGGTTTCAGATACTGTTGGCATCATGTAGACTAATTTATGTCACGGAACTTCTTTATAGTCCATTGTGTGGTGACGGTGCTTATATAAATTTTGATTGCAGGAGTCGTGAGTTTCTTTGGCAGGAAGGGCACACTGCTTTTGCAACAAAGGAGGAAGCAGATGCAGAGGTATTGCATCAAATATTTATTTTAAGAATTTCTCTTTTGGTCTCATACTCTCATTTGTGTAACTTGCCATAATTTGTCATCTTTTGTATGTGGATATTTAATGAAGAGTTGTTAATGCCCTTCTCTCATCTAGTGCTTTGTGAAAAAATCTTTTTTCTTAAAATCAAAATTGCGCATCACTATCTTCCCTTTCTTGGGGTTTTATGGGTCTTAAATTAGCTATGAACTTCCTTTTTATGACTGGTGCATTCTAGACTGCTTATTAATTTGTAATTTCCACCCAAGCATGCAGATTTCCCATTTTCTGAAAATTTGTTTTCAAAATATTCTAAACTATTTCTTTTTCAGGTTCTTGAGATACTAGAATTATATAGGCGTATATATGAAGAGTATTTGGCAGTTCCTGTCATAAAGGGTAAGAAAAGTGAACTTGAGAAGTTTGCTGGTGGACTTTACACTACCAGTGTTGAGGTATATGTCTGAAATTCTGGCATAAACACTGATGTGATTTGATGGTGAAAGTTGTTTATAAATTTTTGATCAATTTTGCTAGGCATTTATTCCAAACACTGGTCGTGGTATACAAGGTGCAACTTCTCACTGTCTGGGCCAAAATTTTGCTAAAATGTTTGAGATAAACTTTGAAAATGAGAAGGGAGAAAAAGCAATGGTCTGGCAGAACTCATGGGCCTACAGTACTCGAACTGTAAGCTTTGACTCCTTGAATATACAAGCATCAGAGGATTCCTCTACATCTGATCGCATTTTATATTTCTTCATTTTTTAACAGATTGGGGTGATGGTGATGGTTCATGGTGATGATAAGGGATTGGTACTACCTCCTAAAGTAGCATCAGTACAAGTCATTGTGATTCCTGTGCCTTACAAAGATGCTGATACTCAAGGAATATTTGATGCCTGTACTGCAACTGTGAATACATTATGTGGAGCAGGTATTCGTGCTGAGTCAGATTTTAGAGATAACTACTCTCCTGGATGGAAGTATTCTCATTGGGAAATGAAAGGTGTTCCTCTAAGAATTGAAATTGGGCCGAAGGATTTAGCAAATAAGCAGGTCATTAACTTTGTCCTACTGTTGCATCGATTCACATATTTGTCATTTTGCTTTACACTGTTAGTTTTTCAATGAACTTCAAATAAATCTCCTTATATTCTGCATAGGTTCGTGCTGTTCGACGCGATAATGGTGCAAAGATAGACATTGCCAGTGCTAATTTGGTTGAGGAAGTAAACAATTTGCTTGGTATTATTCAGCAGAACCTGTTTGATGTTGCAAAACAGAAACGGGATGAATGCATTCAGGTCATACATACTTGGGATGAATTTCTGCAAGCTTTGAACCAAAGAAAAATGATCTTAGCTCCTTGGTGTGATGAGGAGGTATGAATTGTGTGTTTTTGTTCAAATATGATATTTCTGGTGTCTTGATAATATGCTTGCCATGTCTTGACATCACATGGCTGTCTCTCGAGTAATCTTGCATGGTGTATGGTTTGGTGTTCTTTTGGTAATAATTTTTGGTCAATAATGATTCAGGCTGTGGAAGCAGATGTCAAAGCAAGGACAAAGGGTGAGATGGGAGCAGCTAAGACTCTTTGTAGCCCATTTGATCAGCCAGAACTCCCAGAAGGTATAACCCTTGTTTTTATGTGGGTGTTATTTTTTGTGCAACTGACCTTAAAATTCTATTTGCACCTTTAGCTTCGGTATGAGCATGCTATCTGCTAATGTTTTATGTTTTACCCCGCTAATGTATAACATCACCGTTGATGCTGGTGTTGCTTATTAAATATGGTTGACTTTTACAGGCACCAAGTGCTATGCGTCAGGAAAACCTGCAACAAAGTGGTCATACTGGGGCAGAAGTTACTAGACTATTAGCTCTTGATGGTTGTATTTTCTGGAGCTAGTTTGATACCGGATTTGTGGATCTCACAAATATTAGTTTTTCTTTTCATGGGTACCTTTTTCAACTGATAGTTTTACTTTGATTCTTTGTGATACAATATTTATTGTGATCTAAAAAATGAGTTTTACATATGCGGTCGTCCAATTGAAACACGTCATCATTTCCTGCATGTTTAAATGGATGGAAGGGATGAAATGGCATGGAAATTTTGATGGAACCATTCAATCCTGGTTTATATAGTATATATAATATAATGGAGGAAGAAAGTAGCGAACTTTGAAATTTAATTAAGTTTCAGAAACCCTTTTATGCTTTAGACCATGTTACTACATGCATGTGAACTTTTGTTCCTCTGCCTGCCTGGATATATTGTCTTTAAGAATTTTTATTTTTGTCTTCCTAGTGTGCCTTCCTCAATGATTTAAAACTGATTCATCTAATTGAATTATTTGGTTATATAGAGTGGCGAGCTCGAATAGTTATGTGTTGACTAATGACATCTCCACACCCCTAATTAGATTTTCTCCCTTTGGTTTGGGAATTCAAGGGTATGCTTGGTGGCGTTGAGGTTTTGGTTCGTTATGTGTAGACTTTAAGTAAAGTAACGGTCCGCTTAGTTAATATCCGACAATTTTCAGATCGAAAACCTGAAAGGTGTTAAACAGTTATATATATATATATATATGAATTGAAGGTAAATAAAATTTGTTTATGTATGCCCATTTCATAATTATATGAGGAATGCTTTTACAAAGTTTTTTATATTGTTATTTAATCATGGATTGTTATACAATTGAATATTGTTAATTTCTGTAATAATTATTTTAAAATTTATATATAGGAAAATTCTAATTAATTGACATTGTAAAGAATTACATTAATGTATTAAGAATTTTTTAGAAAATATTTATTGTGCTTGTTTGTAATTTTTTATGTAATAAATGTTAAATTTTTAATCGGAAAATATGTTTAGTTACTGAAAATCCGTCCTATAATATTTGGTGAGAACAAAAAACTAATGAATCTAGTAAGAGGCTAGGACCTCACCTAATCCCCTGTCCAATATCTACCAAGAAGTTTACCCAGTCTCTGAACCCTCTTCATTACTTCTATAAAATAACAAGGGCCAGTCGATTAAAATCCCAAACTTCGCCGTGCTTTGTCAGTCATCAGGGGTTGTAGTCAGAAGGTGGAAAGTACTGCACAACGCAGAATGTAAACCATGTCTCTTTAGGACTGAATAAAGCAAAACCATATCGGAAGAAGGCATTTATTAACAATGGTTGCATTATATGTGGTGAAATGTTTGTGTACCATTTGGATGTATTTTTGTAACATGTGTATATTAAAAAATAAAAAAATAAAAAATAAAAAACAGGTAAAAGATAAAAATAATTATATTCAATATTATATATGTTATCGACTTTTAGTGATTCAAATAACAAAACTGTTCATGACAAAAAAAAAAAAAAAAACTGTTGTATCAGCAATGAATTCATTCATTTTGATGTGTTACAAACTTGGTCCTTGTTTATAGAGGAAAAAGTAATGTAGTTTAACCAGTGTGAGAAAGCGAAGGCAGCCACAAACATGATCAAGTTCTGGTATCTGCAATATTCTACTAGAATAAAAAACACTATCTAGTATTTTTGTCTATTTGCAGCATAATAATGTAAATAAAGGCTGTAGTCTACTCTAATACTGCTGGTATTTGGTGTTTTTTTTTTTTCAACTTCGGATGGCGGATCCAAGGGTGCAGCAAAGTGTAAAAATGATAATTGAAAAAAAAAGTTTTAATTTAATATTTTCTGATTAAAATTTATACATTAATTACGAAATCTCTGCAAAAGTTGATTGACCAACTATTGCAGGAATAGAATTAATATATTTCCTTTTTCTTTTGCATCAATTAGTAGAATCACTTTTCAGATGTGGTGCGGAATTGTTCGTGGTCCATCATAAGTTGTTAAGTCCCATAGGCGAGAGAGCTTTCATATATGCCGATGCACGACTGAGTATTACCACGCATTTACATGATAGTTCCAGCATGCATGCATTGTTACAATTGGGAGATATAATATGTAACATGGCTTCAGAAATTTGCTAGTGTTTCATTATTAATGACTATTTGTAAGGTACAAATGCAGGCATGAAAAGGTGACATTTGTAAATGGATCTTTTTCTTTTTTTCAACTACAGTTTTCGTTGTCCCATTGATCTTGGGGGAGTTTTTGACCTATAATATCAAGTTTGTAATTGTTGGGCCCATTGCCTTAGGAAAATGAAAAAGCATCCTTTGTTTTTTGGTAAGGAATAGCATGGTCTTACTCTTGGCGTATTTATGTCTTTCTTTCTTTTCCCTTTTTTTCTTGTCTTTTGGTCTTTTTACTAAGGGAAAATTCGAGCTGTAATTTCTATTTTCTGTTGGGCATCTTGATGGTTGAGTGTATTTATTTATTGTGAACATTTATTTTCATGTAGTGACTATCCAATGTGTTTGCGTATAGAGCGGAATTTGCATCAAGCACGTCTCACCCACAAAGGATGTGTCAGGAAAATGTACCGAATAAAAAAGAATGGGGCCAATAGAAGTAGGCTTCCATTTTGGCAAATCATTGTATCCATTTTCTACTTTTCATTTCACAAATCATTTTATGATTGTACGTATGTCAACATTTAACCAGTTTCTACTTTTCATATGCATAGTTAATTCTACAACTTCATTTAGTGCCATCTTCAAATTTTTAGATTTAAAATCTAAATTCTATATGCTTATCATGCTGATTAGAAAAAATAAAATAAAATTCTTAAAAATGTTAATTTAACAGTAAAAGAACGAATGGCAAGAAGGTGATATTGAAAGCATATGCATGTGCCAATTCTAACTGCCCCACATTCTTTCAACTAAGCATTAAGCAATGCTAATTAATAATTTCTAACTAATTCTTACCCATGAAGCAAGGATTGACCAGAGTTGGATTTTTCATGTAGATCGTACATATGTATATCGATACAATTAAATTGAGGTTTAAATTATTTAAAATGGAAAAAGTGAATACAATTAGAAAATAAAAAAATAATTTAAAATTAGCTAAATTTGTGAAATACTTTTGAACAAAAATAAACATATATTTGCCGCTTACTTTACACATTTTCTTATTTTAAAAGGTACAAATCCCAAATTTTGATGTTGCTGTTTGTAGCTAGAGATTCAGTCCTTGAAGGAAAAGAAAAAATCTTCAGTGGGAGACTAAGAAGTGTGCTTTATTAATCGTTACGTCACTCTCTTTACTCTCTGTTTTTTCCCAAAGAAAGTCTTAACTACAAGCATATTCTCGTAAGCATAAAGATCTATTGCGATAAAACAAATTAACAAAAAGAAGAAATGAATGTTTTCATGAATAAAAAGAAACTATGGCAATAACAATTTTTTAGATCAACCATCTATTCAGAACCCCTTTTAATCAAATTCAATGTGTTGGGAGCGGAGGTATATGCCAAAGCTCATCGTGCCAACAAATAGAAGAAACATCCCTCAAATGCAATGTTTGCAACCCGTATACTACTTTGGGTACCACAGACTCATCTTCAAATTGAGATGTGTATTTAATCAATGCATAATGGTTTCTTTTATTTTCTTAGTAAGTGTTGATGAATACTGATGATTTTTCTACATATAGATAAAAAAAAAATTCAAATAATTAAATATTGTGCATTTATGGAGATAAACCATATCTTTATGTCTGTCTTCAGATGTGATATTTTCATAATATGTATGTGAATTATATTGGTACTTTGGACAAGTTTTTGCCTTTGCCTAGCTTGTCCGATCCTTAGTGTGCAATGTGGTATGGTCCATCGATCCAATGCTATCTGTGAGACTGTGACTTCTTTAGCAGATGAACGATAGAAGACAAACGCCTTTGGATCTAAGTACTCTCCCCTTCTTGCCAATTCAATTATTATCAAAACAATCTAATAATAATATGGAATTCTTATTGTCATATATATTATGTTTCTCATATTATATAGTTTGTTTACTGCAACACGACATTATGTGACGAATAACTTTCAAAATTTAAATTATTAAGTGGATTATTTGAATCTTGCAGTTTCATTATTTAAATTATTAATTCTTAAAATTAATATCATATGAAATACTATCTACTATTATTTTTATTTTTCATTTTTTGATACAGACATTCTAAAAATACATTCTTAAATATGTAATTCGAAAGGTACACAAAACATTTTCCAATCTGAATAGTTTGGCAGGTAAACAAATATTTCCACTGTATCTTCCCAAAAACGCAAATTTGAAGCGAAGTTGATGATTTATCATCATCCTCTATTATTACTACAATTCCAAGGCTAATTCACGTTCTCCTATGATTTCAAGATATCTAATTATCTATGTTGCGAAAACCCACGCATTTGATTTCAGGTATGTTCGGAATGTGTCGGGTGTTGGTTAATTCTGTCATTAATTAGAGTAACAAAACATGAAATATGCACCTCACTTAAACTTAAATAACAAATTACGCAAAGAACTAGCCCTACTGAGGTTAATGATGCTACACAAAGCATGATCAGTATTATTTTTCCTTGCATAATATATGTATAGCTACAGCAAACTTTGTACGGAAAGTTCATATAATATTGAAAGGGTAAAATGCACAAAATTATGTGACCGTGCTTTATAGCTAGCTCCTTTTAGTACTGTCTTGCCATCAAAATAATAATGTAACTTTACATAATTATACTTGTTAAAAAAAAAACCTAACTAAAGATATTGTTGCTGTTATGGTTAAGGGTTGTGTTTTACATTCACTGACTGAATTCAGACTTTAGCCAGTAAATAAGAGAATTAACTCTTAATGCCTAAATCTATTATATACTAGTAATTTACATACCATAAACAAATCATACAATGTATCCCTATTTTGCATTATTTAAAGTGGATAGTTATTACAAACAATTACTTAGAAGATTCTTATCCACATGAAAGGAGGAGATAGGGATTTGGTGCATTTTCCCCTAAATATAATTGGAATGGGTAATGTCCTCGGATTTGTCAAACATGTTCACAATTTATAAATGAGGCAGGCCATAGCTTGTCGTCATTTACTCATTTGTGATATTGAAATACTATCTACCCTTTATTAGTTATATTACTTAAGCATAACTACCATCATTATGAACCACACATAAAGGATCAAATCAAATATAAAGCTAGAAGAGTTTTCGACCAAAACAAAATACTAAAAGAAAATTAATGCACAAGTTGGCATTATAATAATTACTCTGAAATTATTGCCATCTAACGTGACAAAGAAACTATGTTAGTCAACTGTCCAGAAAATACTTTTAAAATGTAACTTGGAAAAACAATAAGGGAAAAATGCATTTTTGATAACTTGAAATAATACTTTATTGCCCTGGAGAGAGAGGTTCTTCTTTCAGTACTCGAGCTCTATATAATAAAAATGATATTTTAAGTTTTAAATGGAATACATGTTTGTAAAATAATTCATTAATCCATATGTATGCATAATGCTTTGCTGTGTGGAATAAAATCATCACAATTTAGTTACCGTTTGGCTTATGGGGCATAGGATACCTGGCTTTGGAAACCTTAACTTTTCACATGCCAGGGGGTGAGATTTAGACCTTTGTGTCTCTGATATTGTCTGTTCTAGGACCCTGTCCCCCTCTTTCTAGACATTTTTTTTATCTAAATAAATTGATCAAAAATTATCATTCATTGAATAAATAGTTTAGTTTAAAAAAAATATTTTATTACATCAAGTATATGAAAATATAATCAATATTTTAAAAAATTACTATCATCAACATTAATTACTTAAATTCAATTCCAAAAACTGAGATGAATATTTTAAAAAAATTATTTATTTTTCCTTAAGATCAATTATTTGTAGTTAGAAGGGGGTGGTTAGTTGTTTCCTCGTGTGAAACTCAAAGATGTAACCCACACTCGAAAAAATAAAGAGAGAGAGGAAAAGATGAGATACATGCAATGGTGAGGCAACAGCTCTCAAGGATTTGTTTGTTGTGGATGAGAAAATGACGAATCTCATTTTCTTTTTTCCTTTCTTGGTTGGCCAATAAACGACGAAGTTCATTTCGGTCCAATCATGCCACAAAACGGAATTTTATATGACATATTTTTGTTATCAAGAAAACAATAATACCATTTTATATTTTTTGACTCTGTTAACATAATCAACGTAATAAAATAATGAAATAGAAAGTGATATAGAAGTAGAAGCATTGTTGTTATCCTAAGTAACGTTACTGCTTTTACTCTTGAATCGAGATCCCTAAGAAGAAACAGACGAAATCCCAGCTGTACGACGACGTTTCAGCATATGAGCCAGCCTTGCGAATGTGAACTAAATTTTGTACTATTATTGTTACAAGGTTATGGTTCTCTGACATTGACAAGAGCATCACGTCCCTATACTCACTAACACATACCGGTTTTGCTTTTTATGGCTAAAATTTGTCTGCCTCCCATTGTTCCATTCACCATTCCCCATTTTACTATGATCCCTTTATTTATTTTTGTGTTACAATTTAAAATTAGACTCCACAAATTATGAAGAAAGTAGGGAAAATAACGGAATAACCTTTTTTATTTGAATGCTTTATTATTGTTATTGTTATGTTGACTGAAGGAAGAAAAACAAGGGAACAAATGATTAATGGTGTGAAGTAGTTAAAGTAAAACATAGTATGAACATGAATGTTGACTTGACGGAGTTTACGAAATAGAAATGTGGGTTGGGATGAAAAAATTGTCACGAGCTACACAAAAACTGAAGTTGAACAGTGAAGGGACGGTACATGCAAAGCTAAATTATGAGGAAAGGTGTTACCTTAGCAGTTGGCGTTGTCTGAAGTTGTGTGTCACTTTGTGTTGCAAGTCACTATCTCTTCACTTTAGCAATAGAAGAGGTGACAAACGCAAAATCAGATACCACTCCTGTGTTTGAAGAGTTCATCACCAGTACCATCTTCAAAATCATTTGAGTTTCTCTTTCTTCACTCTTCTGGGGACTTTTCCATAGACGGTGAGAGAGAGAGAGAGAGAGAGGGGGGGGGGGGGGGTCCTACTGCTTATTGTTTAGAGGGCAGTAACAGTCTTTGTCAATGATTTTTACTTGGGTGGTGACTCTCTCATTTCAATGACCCACCCAATCAATATCACACTTGCTTATTGCTGGGGTGGGGATTTTAATCAATGAACCAAACCTCCTCCTCCTCTTCTTCAACTTTGCTTCCTTCACCCTTTCTTTTTCTTCACTAGTAGGGGAATTTGGAATTGGAGGTACCCGGATCTCATTCATATGAGGAGACATTCAACAGTGAGTTCTCTCTCTCTCCCTCTCTGCATTCTCACTTGGAGAGGTCCCAATCTCACTTTTATCACCTGTCAGGCTTTGTAGTGTGGAGTAAGATCTAAAAGCTAAGTCTTTCTTACATAGATGAAGAATAACACTAGTGGGATCATCCACTGTTCACCTTGTTATAATTTGTGCTAATTCTTAAGGAAGTGGCACTTGGTTAGTGGAAAAATGGGGGGTGATTGGTTTTTTCACTTTTGGTTGTTCCTTTTGTGATTAGTGTATATCTCTTCTTGCATTATCAACTGTGTGGCCAAAACCAAAATGTAGCTGATGATCTGAGTGGATTTTCAATTTTGAACTCCTGAAAGTTGAATTTTTTATTGCTCTTTCTAGATCCTACCTGAATTTCATAATTTTCACGGTCCTTTTAGTAAAGGGTGAAGAAGAATGTGGATTGCTTTTGTTCTTAATTGATAAATGAACTCCAAAATGGGAAAGCTGCTCACAGTCTTAAGGGTAGCCCATGGTAACTGATGGTGAAATGTTTCTCTTGCAGCTCGTGGAAGTGCTTCTGGTACTTGCATTGTTCAATTGTTGTTCATGGACAGTGTGGAGCAGCACACTTTGCAAGCAGACAAACTTTGAGGAAGTTCGACCTCACAGTGTCAGCATCACCGAATTTGGTGCAGTTGGCGATGGGATCACTCTCAACACAAAAGCATTTCAGAATGCCATCTTCTACCTCAATTCCTTTGCAGACAAAGGCGGAGCAAAGCTTTTTGTCCCGGCTGGCCGGTGGTTAACTGGTAGTTTTGATCTCATCAGTCATCTAACTTTGTGGCTGGACAAAGATGCAGTAATTCTTGGATCAACGGTAAGCCACTCGTTGTAATAATGCAGAATAAAAAAAGGAAGTTTTAGTAAAGCTGCTTCGCTGACTTGTCTGCAGTTTTTCCAAAGTAAAAGGCCACTTTCAGCATAGTTCTCTTATTTTTGCTAATCAATGTGGCAGTGGTCTATTTTAGTTAATCAATTACCATGCAAGGATAGTATTTTGACAGCCAAATTTGTTTAAGTTTGGTTTGTGTTTTATGTGCTGTGCTGAAGTCCTATAAACTTGATAGTCTATAATATGCTTATACATTATTGCAGTTTCAATTATGATATGTATATTCTGCTTATTACAGAACTCTGAGGATTGGCCAGTTGTTGATCCTCTACCATCTTATGGGAGAGGAAGAGAGTTGCCAGGTGGAAGGCATAGGAGCCTTATTTATGGGCACAATTTGACTGATGTTATCATAACTGGTTGGTAATTCAACAAATAATATTATTTTCTCCATGCATATAAGTATATTGATGCTATCGATGTCTCAATGAAGGTAATAATGGGACCATCGATGGTCAAGGGAGTATCTGGTGGAGCAGGTTTTGGAACAAAACTCTGGATTATACACGTCCTCATTTGGTGGAATTGATGAATTCAACCGGGGTTCTCATTTCAAATTTAACCTTCTTGAATTCTCCATTTTGGACTATTCATCCTGTGTACTGCAGGTTTGTCCCCTACTGAAGGACAGATTTTATATTGTATTCCTTTGTGTTCTGTAGTTCAAGTGCTTCCATTGCCTTTTTAAAACTGTGCAATAGTTGAGCTTTCATGATTAGGGGGGAGATTTGAGACTGTTTTTCTGGATGAACAGCCAAGTAACAGTTCAGAATGTCCGGATCCTTGCTCCTCTTAATTCACCAAACACAGATGGGATTGATCCAGGTGAGCTTTCTCACTTTAGGCTGGAATGTCATACTAACGTGAAATTCACAATTACCAAGTATTCTGCATTCTTTTAAAAAAAAAAAAATGTTTACAGCTGTTTTGGTGCAGTATCACCCTTTTATTATAAAATATTTTAAGGAAAATTTTTCATATGAACTAAATGAAGACATAATATCTAGATTTATGCAATTGTGCATCAGGGCAAAGGAAATATCCAAGCTATAAAGCAATGTATCTCTTAAACACTAGGCAGTGCTAACCTGACAATTATTTTCCTTTCTAGAAGATTTTTAGATTCTCACATACACCTCTAAAATGTGTCCAGACTCTTCTGATAATGTATGCATTGAAGACTGTTATATAAGCACTGGTGATGATCTGATTGCCATCAAAAGTGGGTGGGATGAGTATGGCATCGCATATGGACGGCCCAGCACAAACATTATCATCCACAGGCTTGTTGGGAGAACTGAAACGAGTGCAGGGATTGCTATTGGAAGCGAAATGTCCGGTGGTGTATCCGAAGTTTATGCAGAAGATATTCAATTCTATGAATCATATAATGCAATCAGAATAAAGACTTCTCCTGGCAGGGGTGGTTATGTTAGAAACATCTATGTCTCTAACATGACCTTGACTAATGTTGATATTGCTATTAGGTTCACTGGTTTATATGGAGATCATCCTGATGATGGTTATGACCCAAATGCTCTACCTGTAATAGAAAAGATTACAATCAAGGATGTGATAGGAGAAAAGATAAAAAAAGCTGGTCTTATGGAGGGTATAGAAGGTGACAATTTTGTCAACATTTGCCTATCAAACATCACCCTTAATGTGAGCTCACACTATCCATGGAACTGCTCAAACGTTGAAGGATACTCTGACTTGGTTTTGCCAGAAGCTTGTGAACCTCTCAAGGATAGAATATTCCCTGAGCATTGTTCAGACTGTTACTATTTGTCAAATCCCCTACCAAATTCGAATGATCAACATAGAGGTGCTTGGTTTATGTCTTGGTAAATTGTGGAGTTTATAGCATTATGCTACCAAAGCTCACTTCATAGCTGAAATTTGATTGGTTCATTTTTTCAGCAGGACAAATTTCAGGTGACATAAGAAGTTGAGTGGAGTTGCTGACCTGTGATTGTCCATCTGCAGAAAGATACCGAGAGATGATTGCTTTTTGTAACTTGTGTGCAGTAACAAATAATTGAGTGATTTATCAGAAATAGGAAGTTGGATGATTTCATGTCTTGCTTTTTCTAGCTACATACGGCTTTGGAAAAGAAAATTGCAAAATTTTGTGTTTCTATTGATTCTAAGGGAAAGAATGTGTTTGGCTGCCGATAGAACTGAGATATGGTTACTCTGACATAACTCCCTTTTGCTACAATGTTGTTGGACATTGGAGATTTTGCAGAAGTACGTGGCAAGGGACTTGTTGGCTTTACATCCATTGAGTGAATAAGGATTCCTATAAATAAGCTTCCTAGAAAAGTGGAATCTAATCAATTGCATACCTCTTCTTTTACACTTAACTAGTTAATACATGAATGATTTATTATTTGGTGCTTTTATTTCGTTTCTCTTTAAGGCTGGCCTAATGATCCAAGTTACATTAAATGCCTAACTGGAACCACCCCAGATATAAATTAAACAAAAAATGTCATGTATTACATCATAAGGGATCAATATAGTAGAGATGAGCATGAACAATGGACAAGCCAATGACAACAAATCTTTATCCCTTAGGTTGAGTTGAGAATCTCCATTTTAAGAATATTTTGACTCCCTCGTCGCTGATAACTGAACATTCAAACTAAACATGCCTTGAAATGTGTCTTAAGCTCCCTAGATACACCAGCTAACTTCAATTCTAGTGTTACCTCTAAACCCGTAACTATTGTTAAATTTAATTTAGTCCTTCAAATCATATTTTTAAAATTTTGAATTTTATAAATTTTAAATAATTTAAATTGTAATTTCTATCACTACTTATGATGTAGTAGCATTTAGATATGTCAAGTCACATGTATTTGGAAAAACTGTTGATGTCATAGTTATATATCACAGTATAAGTAAGTAGCATTAGAGACTACTTAAAAGAAAATTATGAAGATCAAAATTACAAAAATGTTTTTTGAAGGACTAACATTTTCAAAGATTTAAAACATATTTAAGCTAACATTTAATTTTGATACTTGAAAGTATTTGTGTAAATTTGTGTGTTGAGCCTTCATTTGATTTGGATGTTGAAAAATAACAGCTCACACACGGATAGCACTAAATTTTGTCTAGATGTTTACTGTGCTTCTTTGCCTTTTTTTTTAGTTTTTTTTTGTCTCAGTAACTAGTATCTTAAGAATATTATTTAAGAAATCAATAAATAAAAAAATTTATTGAAAACTATGCTAACCATTATTTAAAAATATGATAACAATATATTAATAACACTATTTGTGAAGGGCCCTGTTAACATTTGTTTTATTTTCTTAAAACAATTTACACAAATAACAAAGCAATCTTTGTGGGCCTGGACACCTTCCAATGGTTAGGCTGAAGCGTTTTCTCTCTGGTGAATTGAGCCCACGAACTACATCATAGCCCAACATTTGGGCCACATCCCTCCTTTCCTTTCTATTAATGACAACTCAACTCAATGTTGACCAAAACAAAAATCAACCTCCAGAAAGACAAACTAAATAATGGTTGGGACAAAAATAGACCTAAACGATGACATAAAAAAAGGCATATTTTTTGTGGACACGCATAAATTGAGTCACATAACTTGTAGAACTTGTTAAAACGAATACTTTATGTGTTTATACGTTCAAAATAACTTATAATAAAAATACCCCTACAATAATAAGATTTATTAAAACAATTTTTACTTGAAAATTAAGTACTATTAAAAATATTCTTGACTAAAACAAACCTTTGTGATAAATTTGAAAATTTTCCATGAAGTCAACATCAAGAGTATACGATGTCACGAAGAATTCAAAAGAAATTTTTAGTAATTAAACATTAAAAAATTATAAAACTGAAACTTAATATTTGATATAAATTAGAGATGACAAAGAGGATTATTTGTCTGTTCCTTTCATCCACCAACCCGTCAAAAGAATAGGACAGGTGGAAGGTTGACTTTTTTTCTAATTTTTTTGTCAAATTTTGAAAATGGACTAAGAAATACAGAAAGTTAATCAGGGATAATTTGGTATGAAATAAATAAATAAATAAATAAATATATATATATATGTTTTTACTTTTTTATTTATAATTTTCGAATGTTTTTACTTGGGATACAGCTTTCCCAATTTTTATCACACTGTGTAAGGGGTTCCTGTTTTCAAGCATGATCATCTAATAAGATCAATAGCGATAGCAAGAAAAAAGCATACTCTTTATCCACCACCATTGGAGATTAACAGTGATACCTAAATAAAAGTAGGAGTCTTGCTCAGAATACAACATGTCAAATTCCAAATAAGATCAAGTTTGTATAAAGACTTTGAAAGGTTGAAAAAAAAAATGGCCCAACCTTCACCCCACCACATGACTTGTGAAGTATGGGTGTGGCTGATTAATATATATAACTTGACCATGTAAAAATTAAAACATGACCAGTTAAGCATATAAATACTCTTTCTAAAGTTTATTTATAAGGTTAGTTTAATTAAATTACGTAGATCAAGGAAAGCTATTAAAATTAGTTAATGTATATATTGATTTTCTTACAAATAATTATCTAAGCTTACTTTTATTTAAACTTTAACTTATTATTACATTAACAATTGAGAAATTTAAAAGATCTAATACTTATTAAAAAAAATAGTTCTAAAGATTTATAAAAAGAAAACCTTATATTATAGATCGAAGAAAAATCTTTAGAAATATAACACATGCAAGAATCTTATTTTTGTATCTGCCAGGGAAACCAGCTGCCAATTCTCTCTCAGATTTTAGAGAATACCGTGGGAATTACCAGGGTCTTATTGTGGTCTCCAGATCCAATATATCTCGGATTTCTACACCAATTTTAAATAGTAGCAGTTTGTATAATTTGTGGTGATGATAACTGTTTCCATTTGGTTTTCTGTCTGACCATAGTACTGCACAATGTTTTGTTATCAGAACCACGCATGGTGGACGCAGGATACGCTTTCGGGATCTTCAAAATACACATCTTTGAATGAATGAACGTGTGCATGTTTCCTACTGTTTTATAAGGAACAAAATAAAGATAATACTATTGGTTTGACAAATAGATTTAAAGAATCAATGGATCATAAATTTTTCATTTAATATTTCAGGGTCTATATATCACGACACTATTAATTCAGGGTGATGATTATTACTTGGGATTACTATATTTAATATTTTGAAGGAGTTTTGCTGTTTACAATAGTACTATTTGACTTTATTAAATTCAAATATACAAAAAAAAATTATATTTAAAACTTTTGAAGTATATTATATTTTGAATTTAATATATGCTGCGGGTGCAATCGTTTTAAACATCTTCCTTCTCGTTTCTTGGCGATTACATTGGTAGAATTGCATGAGTAAATTCATATTTTTTAATTCATATAAGTCTTTTTAATTATTAAACAAAAAAATAAAAATATTTTTTCAAGATAATATGTATAGGAGAATAAAAAAGAAAATTTAATAAAGTTCTATAAAAATAATTCTCACGTACACGTACAAAAAGATATAACATTGTCAGTCCTTATGTATTTATTTAAATTTAATCCCTATATTTTACTGTATTACAATTACGAATGACGGTGTAATAAATGCGTGAGAACTAAATATATTAATTTTAAAAAAGTAATATTTTTGTTGTCAGTTTTTTCTAAAAAAAAGTTACAGATTAAATAATTTTTTATCTACAAAGACTAAATTTTTTTTTTCCAGATAAGAATTTAAACTAAAAATTTGTCAAGTAACCGTTAATTTATATTATTAAAATTACACGGAATTTCAATTAAAATTAACAGTGAATACTGTATATATTATTATTTCTCATTTTATATATTTAATCAAAATTAACTGCATGCTAACTTTCTCAATTTACTTATTGAGTTAAACCGATCAAGTAAATCTGTAATTATATCCATAGTTTTACTTTCTAAAAGACTTCAAAATTAAGCTGAATCTTCCACCCACATCAACACTTGCATTGTATCAGAAAGATCAACGTGCTCCTGCAAATTGAAGGGTGCCGTTCAAACGATTTTCTATAGTCTTACACTCAGAGGTGACTGTTTTACATAAATATAATAATAAAAAAAAGTAAACCGCGCGCAAGCCTAATCTTCTCTTTTCTGTATATACACAGAAATAGTATATAGTTGCTCAAAATTCACATAATAACTAATTAATTGGTGGAGAAAGTTGTGCATGACTGAGGAAGCTGTGGTGAACCAGGAATAACAGCATTTCCATTGTTACCAACATTGTTATTACCATCACTGAGCCCTCTAGGCGCACCAATGATTGAGGATATCGCTGCCGCCAAAGCTGCAGTAAAGTTTGGGTCCGAAGCTATGGCTGCACTAACCGTTTCGACCATAGTTGAAGGTTGTCGTTGGAGTAGAGGCAATGCTGGAGGTGGTAGCTTTTGTGAGAGCAACAAGGGATGCCCTAGAAGTTGAGGACCAGAAGGCGCATGCAATGGCAAAGGGAACGTGACACTATGGCCTGGTACTCGGTGCAGTTGCATGGCATTAGGGGTTTGAGTCAAGTCTAGAGTGATGGTTGGGAATGGTGCAGAAGCTGATAGGGTTGCCATTGAAGCATAGGGAAGTGAAGAGAAATATCCTGCAGAGTTTGTTTGCGCTTCCTTGCTCGGTGTTGAACCTGATAGCAGCATGGCTGCAGCTGCTGACGTGGTGCTTGCCATGGCAGTGGCAGCTGGTGGCAATGGATGGTTATGATTGCCTTCGTATGTTGTTATCAACACAGTCTTGTCCTCTGCGCATCTTTGCACCTGTTCAACCCACAATATATATAATATATATAATGTTACATGTGAGAAGAATCAACGTAATTAAAGGCATATAATAAAAACTAAGTATAATTATTTACCTGCTTGCGCACTGGGCATCCTACTGCCATAGTGCATCGATAGTAGGCACGAGGGCAAGGATTACCTTTGGCCATTTTCTGCCCGTATTTTCTCCACTGACATCCATCGCTAATCTAAAAGTATCCCATTATCAAATGTTAATTGTTCATTTAATGAATTTTCACATGTATGCATCCGTGTTTAATTTGTCACCTAGGTGTTAAAGTAGTTAAATAAAGAAAATTACACTATACTGTAATTTCATTCAGAAACACATTATCTAGATCTTCTTTTACAATATCTTTTAATTAATTATCATAACAATTATAAAATATATTAAACGAAAAAATATCATATTTAATATCTTAAAACAATACATCAATAAGAAAGAAAATTAACAAAAATGTCATTAAAGAATTTACAATTATTTTCTCATTAATTAAATAGCTGTGAAAAAAATTAAAATTGCCATCTATTAATTATTTGACATTGGATAAGCTTATATTAATAATATGATACATGAAAATAGTAGATAATTTTATTAATATATATCAATATATTAAATATTAATACAATATACTATATTATTAGAATAAACATTGAGAATATTTATATTAATAATTTTATTTTTATTGGACAAAATATAAAGGATTCAATTTTAATAAAAGAAAAGGACATTAATATAGTGTTTATAAAATGCAATGAAAAAAGTACCAGGGGAGCTTCTGATCTTGCACGTACGGAAACCCTGGCTTTTCTGAAAGGAATCTGATCAGGTTGAGGAGTTTTTGGCTGTTCTTCAAACTTGGATGAACCCCAACTCTGGGATGAGGAGCGGTCAAGAACATCTTCTGAAGCATCAGGACAAGCCTGTTTTCCAAGATTAAGTATAGTCAAATGAGGGTCATCCTCCTTTGACATTACCTCCGCGTTGTTCGAACGAGAAACAGATACCTCACAATCAGTCTTTTCATCCGAAACCGATGCATCATTCACGTCTAACTTGGTTAATGGACCTGCCTCCACTATTTTTTGTCCCGACATCACCCCATTTCCTTCAATATTCTGTTCCACAATTATCACTTCACTACTATGTATGGATTTTAACTGTCGGTATGCACGTCAGTGTTTAACTTTTGACACTTACTAGGGATTTTAACCGTGGGTACATCTACGTACGTGTGTGCATATGCATTTTCACTAGGGATGGCAATGGGTAGGGTATTACAGTACCCATCCTCATACCCGCGTTTTAAAAAAATACCCGTATCTGGACCCATACCCGCGTGGGTATGAACATTAATCCCCGTACCCGTACCCTCTGGGTACCCGCATACCCGTCTTGTACCCATTACCCGCGCTTGTTTGAGAAAAAAATGTTTATAAAGAAAAATATGTTTATATAATTTCACATAAGTAGCATAATAATACAAAAATTCAATATGTAGTTGTCGAACAAGGTACAAATATAGATAAAAAATAAATATTCAAAGATCATAAATGTTAAATGTATCTTAATATAATAATTTTCTAGACTAAAATTCTTAGAAACAATAAGCAAAACTAAACACACAAGTTATTTGTCAGTGATAATCCTATTTTGTGTGAGATTTGATTGATTGGTAATGTCAGAACGACAACGAAATAGATCTGTACAATGGTTGTCCCTTCGTGTGGGATCACTTAGTAACCTCTTGTGACGGCATTAAAAACTAACTCTAATGAATAACATTTTATAGTTATTAAGTTTTAGTGAGACAGACATTGAGAATGTAAATAGAGTTAGAGTAGAGAAGTTCAATACTAACGATAGAAAGTTGATACTTAAAATATTTTTTTTAACTTTTGAATTTGAAAGTGTAAGAAAAATAATAGATTTAATTAAAATAATAAATATAATATATATATATATATATATATATTAATACTAGTATTTTTTAACTCATATACTATACGAAAGTATTTTATCAAAAATATAAATTTTTAAAAAATTATTTTAGTGAATTAAATATTTATAATATATATAAATTTTAAAAAAATTTGAATAAAAGATAAATAGTTACAATAAAATTTTATAATAAAGAAATATACGTGTATATTAAAAAAAATTATACTTTTTTATCTTAAAAAAATTAACAAATAAAAATTAACAATAATTTTTTTATATTTATATCTTTTCAAAAACTTCTTTGAATGTGAATAAATAGTAAGAATAATATTATTTAGATTCAATAGATTATAGTTGTGCTTGTAATACATATGTTGCATAAAAAAATATTATTTTAAATTAAAATATAAAAATAAAATTTAAATATTATTAATAAATAATAAGTTTACGGTAATAGTAGGTGATTGTAAAATTTATAATATATTTATTATTTATCATTCACTTTATGATTTAATCATCAATATGATTTTATTAATAAAAATATTTGTGTAAAAAATATTTTATGTGTGTCATATATAAATAATATTTTAAAAAAAGTCAATCTCATATTAACTATGTAATAATTAAATTGTGTTAACCTAATTAAATGATATAAAATAGTAAATAAATTTTTTTATTAAAAATATAAACCAAAATAAATTTTTTGGTTTACTTTATTATTAAATATATTTTAATCTTATATAACTTCACATAAGTAATATAATAATACAAAAATTCAATTCATAATTATAGAATAAAGTTTAAGCATATATATATATATGCGGGTATGGGACGGGGTGGGTACTTAGATACCCATACCCGCACCTATCCCCATTAAAATTTGCGAATTTTTACCCACACCCATACCCGTACCAGTATAGCGGATAAATACCCTACCCATTGTGAGTAAATTTTGCGGGTACCCATCGAGTACTTTACCCATTGCCATCCCTAATTTTCACAGTTATCTTATTCCCCGACGTGTATTACTACTAGCTATCTGCTGCTAGACATGGGAAGAAAAGACTTTTCAGTCGTATGTTAGGGTCAAGTCAATTTTATCTCATACTTGTTTGCATTGATTGTCGATATTTGATAGCTTATTTGACAGAGAAATTATATTCCAATTACAAATTCTTGCAACATATTTTGAAATAAATCAGTCAAATTTTTAAAAAATGTAAGATCAATTATGAGTGATCTATTGAAGAAAGATAAAAATAAATTTTAATTATAAAAAATATTGTAAAAATATGTTATGGAAATAATATATCGTAAAATGGTTTTTTTTTTTCACACTTATTAGATGTGTACGTTAAATAATAGAAGATAAAGATTAAAAAAAAAAGAGAAGAATAAATGCGATGAACAATATAGTGGAAAGAAAAAAAGATAAAAGAGGATGAAATATTGGTATAAAAAAAATAAAGTTATTGTTTAAATAGGTATTTCATAGTCTGAAATGAGAACGCGGTTTGTTGAATGGGGAAAAAATAATGTGAGATCTGTTAAGGGTTATTCAGGAAATTAAATAAATAAGTAGAAAGTATAAAAATATTAATTAAATTAAAAAACACAAATTTGAATATTTAATATATTTTAAAATAATTAATTATACTAAGTTAAATATATTAAATACTTTGTAACTGGTTGGAAAGACCAAGATAGTAGTAAAACTGAAACCATAATTTGTTTGAAAGAATATATATATTTTTATATATGCCTAGTAGAAAGAGCTTGAAAAACGACAGTGAATGAAGATAGCACGCTTTCTAATTTAAGTGAGGCACGCTACCCTGTTTCTTCACTGACTAAGAAAGATAGAGAAAAGAGCACATAGACACCTAAACAAACAAATCTTGCTTTCGTTACAGGAGAAAAAAAAAACAATTTTTATTCATGAAGCAGCAGAGAAAATTTATCTCATTGGCGATGAAAATACCCTTAAATCAGATTCTACTCGTGAGGATTAAAAGATTGATCATTTTAAGACATAATTAAATGTTGAAAAAATATTAAATCGACCTGATGAGGCTTTTGTTTCTGCAAAGCTATGAACAGTTGAGCTTGTAGTTGGGTATAGCCTCTGGTGATCTGGTCCAGCACAGTTTTCAACTTGCGATTCTCTTCTTGTAGTCTCCGCAATTCACTTTCAAGAGAACTCATGAGCTAAGAACAAAACAAAAATTAAATAAAAAAAATATCCAACCCACACAATATTACATAAATCGATTCACGAGTATATCCATAATCCATATCCCCACATGACTACGATATATATATTACAAACCTCAGTTTCATGATTTTCACCATTTTCTGCCTTTGAAACTCCAGCACTTGCACACGTTAAATTCAGCCCAGTCTGCATATACATATGAAAAACATCAAAATGATCGAGTTAGATTCAGTACCCCTCTACTCATATTAATAATAACTCTTTGCTTATCCCAAAAAAAAGGCATAAAAACGGAATTTAAAAAAAAAATGACATTAAATACAGAGTGATGCAGAATCGGATGATTCAGCATTTGAAACCTCACGTTTATGGGCTGATGAGTGACACGTGTGGGCGATGGACGGTTGGTGATGTTGGCATGGTGATGATCCTGATCAAGGTGGTTCTGACGATGATCATTAGTATCATTGTTATTGTTAATATTATTGTCTTTACGTGATGAAGAGAAGAAATCCATTTCTTTGATTGGAGGATCTATGCGGTGGCCGGAGTCTAAGAAGGTGAATTCACGGTGGTGTGGGTTGTCCATATAATATTTGCAGAGAGAAGAGAGGATGGGAAGTAGCAATAATAAAGTGTGGTAGTTTGCATTGGTTTTCAACGCAAATGAGGTATAAATGTGGTATCGCACACACTTGGACCTTGAGGTATGGGTCCCACAATAAAATTAAAATGGAAAAAGGTAATGTTGTTATGTAAGTAAGAAAGAGGTCCACCAAAAGGTTAACTCAGGAGGGACCAGCCGTTTTTTCGCCATAATTGACGTCACCATTAAGCCACTTTCTGTACGCCTGTAAAAATGTTAGCTTTTTATGTAAATTGTTCTAACTTCTAATACTATTTATATTTCATTTTAGATAAAAAAACATTTTCACTTCAATATATATTACAGAAAATTAATATTTAAGTTTTCTTCTTAAATAAACGTTTAAGAATTTGAATGCGACTCGTTAAATGCTTTTTTATTTTATTTTATTATACTTGACTAATTGATTTGCAGAGCGTGGCTTAATATATCTCACATTAAATATTGTCAACTATTTCAAAATAAAATTAATTGTATCATAATTTATTAATTTTCTTTGTTTGTCACTTACCTTTTAAATCCTGATATTGTTTGAAATATTAAGTTTTTCTTTACCTTGTTAAATAAATTGTACTAATAACTTAAAACAATACAAAAATTCTTTTAATTGACAATAAATTTTAAGTGGTCAACTTTTTATGAGTTGTCAACATTTAATACAATATATATTTTTAAATTATTTTTTATTTAATTTTGATTACACCATCTATCTCTCATTAAAAAAATACTGTTATGAGTAAAAGGTCGTGGTATTAGCATAAGAAAATGGAAAAGGATGGGGGAACGGCGTTAAGAATAACGGGCAATGAATCCACGTGGGGTAGTCCCATAAGGTCAACCCAGTTGACGGCACGGCTCTCTCTGTATGAGACGGTAGTTAGAGTAAGTGGGGGCCACATGATTGGAAAACCTAATCCCACTGACTTTGAAGGCAACGACGACGTCATTGGGATCATTGGTCCACCTTAACCGAGGCATATTGAAGACCCAACCGCGTATCCTCCCCACATTCTTCTCTCTATTCACGTACATTCCATTTTTTATTTCTTATTCTTGGAGAAGGATTTTACCTAACAATATAATTAGCTTTGCTTGTGCATAACAAAATTTACAGTATTGTTAATTTTATAAAAAAAATTCTAAGTATTTTGGTATAATTTAATACTTGTAATAAAGTATTAAATTTTCTATTAATATTTTTCAACGCGTTGAATTTCAAAATTAAATAAATAAAATCAATGCCTACTGAAAAAATTAACAAACTACTTTAAAAGTTTTATGACCCACTCATTGTTTTAAATATTTTTCATTTTTTCCGGCGAGTAAAAAATTGAAATGATAATATAGGTAAAATATTTTGTTAAAGATGTGAGAGCAACTCAATACTAGATTTTGGTCAGATACCTTATGATAATAGATAAAAAAAAAATTGTTTTTAGCAACCGCCTTTCTTCCTAAATCTTTTTATTATGAAAATAACCAAAATCTCCCTTCATAATGCATACTTTTATTCGGAAAACAATTCTAAAAACTCTAAACCTACTTTATTTGACTTTGGATTTTCCGATATTGACAAAAAGCAAAAGATACTGTTTGATAACCATCAAATTAAAATTTAATTATAGATCGATGGTACAAAGGTTTGTTTGTATTTGTTATATCAGATATTTGAAATTTTGTTCTCCTTTGAACTTTCCATCACTTAATTTTTCAATTAGAAAGAAAGAGAATATTTAACCATTTAATATCTTTATTGAAATTCCCTTAACTTCTAAGTAACAAGCAATGGGATCCATCGCGCGTGTATTACCAAATGTCAATATATATATTAGTATAAATTTGCTTAGTCATTTTTTTTATTAATGATAAAATTTATTAATTCAATTATTAGTTTTGAAAATTCTTATTAAGTAAATCAAGTTTAAAAGTTTTATAAATTTTTAAAACAGGTTAATATTTTATGAAAAAACTCTATTTTAATATATAATATAGTGTTTTTAAAATATAAGTAGATATTAACCATAAAATTATATATCTATAAAATATTACTTTTTGACATCCACAACTATAAAAATAATGTTTCACGATTATACAGTTAAATTAATAAAAAGTAACAGTTTGAATAAGCAATCAAAACTTATTATGGGAGTAAGTGGATCCTTAGCATGTATGTACTAAGAACTTATTTTTTATTAAAGAAAATTTATATTGATAAAAACAAATATAACACCTTTTTTGTTTTATTATACGAGTATGAAACATTTGATCTTGTAGGCAGAGGCAAAAACGATTGCACGCCTGGGGGTGGACGAGCTAAGGAACGCATTTATGCATATTAAATGAAAATATGAAATCTCAGTTTAATTGGTCAAGTTGTAAAAATTGAAGTCAATGACTAAAGGTTTCTGGAATCTGGACGTGCCACTTGATTTGATATTAAATTCCAGCTGGCTTTTTCTTTGGACGATCTTGTCCTCGTGTAGTAAATAATCATATAAAAATGCTATAGCATAGCAGTGAACGATAAAGAAATTAAGCCAATATATCACCTTCCATGTGAATAAGATATCCATGTACAATCACATATATGCATATCTTCAAGTCAATGCCAGGTTACAAAGGTTCCTTTTAAATTCCTCTTTGTCCATAACTTTGACAAAGATGATTTTCCATAGACTGCAAGTGCACAGTTTATTCCAAGGGAGCAGGTTCATTCATTTTTCTAAGAATATGCATTAATTATAGACTTAACAGTTATATATGATTTCAAGCAGCGAAGCTGAAAAATGTACGCCTGCTTCTTCCCTGCTTCATTTTTAATTGTTCATTAAATATTTAATCGTTCACTTTTTATTTTCAAAATAAAATTACATATAGGATTGAAAATTCGAATAATTTCTTTTCTATGCATCTTGAGTCAAAAAAGGTTAATAAATTTTAGTTAGGGACGTGCGAAGGCAAAGTAAACAAACGCGGCAATTTGAATGCATGACGGATGCATAAGACGCCGCTCGCGAAGTGAAGAGGGAAAACGCAAAAAAAATAAAATTAGCAACACTTTATTGATTAAAAATAAAAAATATAAATTTAAAAATGAAAAAGAATAAAATTCATATTATTTTTATAATCTTAGTTAATTATAGAAAAAATAAGAGCGTTGTGTGTGGTACTGAGGGAAGAGGGAAACAATTTAGGGTGCTACGCCCACCCAATTCTCCAACTTTACCCGCACCGCACGTTCAATCCAGAAGCGGCAAAGTCCCAACCCAACTTCACGTGTATGGGATGAGAGTAGCTTCTATTTCCTTCCTTGTTTGTTCACGCCTCCATTATTATAAGTGACTAATACACTCTTAATTATTATTAAGCATTAGGTTTACCACTACTACCCCAAATAATTAATCACCCTTTTCTCTGTTAGTTGCCTTTTCTTACTCTTGTCTACGTACATAAAAATAAAATAAAATGGTTCAAACGCATATTTATTTGAATTTATTTAAAATGTAAATTTTTAATTTTTAATAATAAATCATTATATAAACAAAAATTCTTTACTTTTGTGATAATTAATATAAAATTATATCTATCAAATATTTTAATTAATTAATAATATATTTATTTTTACATTGATAGTGCATCAACATTTAACTTATTTAATTTTTATAGTTATTACTCATTCATAAAGTAATTCTTATACTAAAAATTTATATTCCAATTTTTATATAAATATTTCATTATACTTTAATCACTATTCTTGTAATAATATTAGAAAATAAGTATAAATTATACACGAAGGACAGAAAAAATGTACTGACATTTTCATAAAATGACTAAAATATGTTTTTTAATATAAATATTAATTCATAAATGAATGTTAATTATAAACATTTAAATGCGAAATTTATCTTTAAAAAAATTGCTCTTTCACGTCACTGAAGAATTCGGCATCACCAAAAAAAAATAATAATAATAAAGAAAAAGATTCGCGTTTCTCTATAGGTTTTATCCAAATACATAAAGAAAAATTTTTCATTATGGAATTAGTCTACATACGAAAGGATTTTGCTACTTGAAATTGACGGATTTGTTTTTTTGATAAAAAAAAACATTTTTTTATTAAGCATTATATTATAATATTAATAATTTAGTTCATAATTAATCGAGATTTCTCACTTTCCTATGCCAAACCAATCCGTATATAATACTTGATGCCTGCATTTGTAAGGTGTCCATTGCTCAAGAAAATGTGGACCAGAGATAAACGAACAAATATCAACTAATTAATTGAAAATGAATGTTTTCAATTTTTTTATGATATATATCTAAATAAAATATCACACTGTCTATAGACTCGTAATATTTATATTAAAATTTTAATTTTCATTAAACTTTTTATTCCAACAAATACAAGCCTAACAATTAATTGTTTTATTACCGCCATTAGTATTTAGGATTCAGAGCTCTCCCGTGTTCTGTTGCCTAATTTGTCTTAGGGCTCTTGACCTTCTTTTATTTATATTTTTTCTGTATTAAAATATCTTTCAGTCAGTGGTAGAAGAATATTATTTTTTTAAAGTGAAGAAATCATCAAAGCAAATAACTTCTTCTAATATTTATTTTTCATGAATAGAGCCAAAATCAAACCTCTACTAACATGAATGTTTAAAAGATCTAACTATCTATCAATTGTCTTGAGCTTAATTTATTGATTCTAATTATTATTATTATTAATTTTCAGACAGCGTGAAAAATTAAGCGGTAGTGTGAGCGCAAGCCTGAAAGGATTTAAGATGATTAAGCATACTTGCAGCAAGCGGGAAAAGGGAAATAAAGTTGAATAATCTCTCTCAATTTTCGTTTAATGCACGTAAATTTTTTATAATAACTGTCGTATTTCGCTAAATATAATATTGAGTGTGCGAGATAAAAAGGAAAAAGTAAATAGTAAATAGAACAACAAATATAAATTGGCAAATAGCAAAAA